ATAAGCTAAAACTCTTGATAAATTTTATGAATTTTATAATTAAGAGAATCAATTCTAAGAAGAAAAAGATGATGATCTATTAACAGAAGTTCGTCCATTTGATGAATAAAATAGAATAAAAACTTTAAGAGAATATTCTTTTAAGCCTAATTAACATTAAAGTAATAAAACTTTAAAATTGAGCACTCTTTAATCATAACAATAATCATGTAGTTTATTAAGAAATAAGACTGAAAATAATATTGATATAAATAGTCATAAAAATGAATTATGTAAGAATGTATCACATAGAGATATGGATAAGGCTTAAAAAAATAAATAAATTATAGAATAAGCTTACGAAAACTTTGTTGAAAAGAAGCCTGCTAGTAAATCTCCAGGAATTAAACAGTAGTAATAATTGAATCTATTAAAAAATAATTTTAAGCATAAAATTAATTAACTATTATCATAAACTCCTGAGAAAAAGTTTAGATTGCAAGCCACAATAAAAAAAAATTACTTTATTAATTGATTAATTATAAATATATTTATATATAAGGAATCCTTATCATATATTACTAAAATCAATCAGTTATTCTGGATGCAATTTCCCTTTTAAAATTACAAGTCCTTTATTTTCAGATGATAAATTTCCTGGCCAATATTATGCTGAAGATTTTTATTAATCAAAGATTTCTAACTTTTTGTAAAGAGCTGCGACTAATTCAGAACAAAAGAATGTTCTTTCTTCCTAAAAAAAGATTGTTTATAAAATTTACCTTATTAGCTTATTTATTTATATCTTAGACTGTAGATTTTTATTTGAGTAATTTCATTGGAGTGAGTGAATATTTTTTACCAATATTTTCAGTTACAAATTCTTAAACTGTACTTAAAAATTTATGATCTCTTTCAATTTCCAATCTTCTAATTACAATCTTATCAAATAGTTCGAACCATCTTTCAGCAATCATGTCCTCTTTTGTAATTAATAATCTATTTACACCAAGAACATAATCCTACTCCATAACAACCAGTAGCTTCTAATATATACAAAGATCCTGATGGAAATCTTAATAATAGGGCAGCATGATCATAATCAGAACCAGTTAATCCTCTTTAAATTAAACAATTAGCTCCGGTTCCTCTGAATAGAAGTATATCAGCAGTATCTCCTATTTTTTAAAATTATTCAAATGATATTCTATCTGTCTATATAATTGATTATATTTAAAGTTACTCTCCAAAATCTAGGATATTTATTTAAAGAATTGATAATCTTTTTTGCTCCTTCAGAAGTATCTTTATTTTCTCTAACAACATGATACCAATCTTTTGTTTTATCAGCATTTTCAGCTTTAAAAATAAAGTTCTTTGTAGAACCACTTGGAATTAATCTTAAAATAGAGTAAAAAATTAATACACAAATTCAGTTATTTGACCTTACTAATTTTTGACATCTTATAATGAATATGACATGATATTAAAATCAAGAACTCCATAAGGGGAATTTTAATTTTCAGGTAAGTAATAAATAAGACGATTATTTTTACAAACTGTCCATCTCTATTACCATCCTTAGAAATAATGTGGACTTTTTTTAAGGAGCATTCCCTCAATACTTGGAAGTTTTTATGATTCATTTTTCTTAGATATAACTTAAATATCCTGTTCTGGAACTACTATTCCATTTTCATCAATTTCTGCCATTTTATCATTTCCCATATAAAAAGTACATTTATTTCCATTATGTTATACAATGGTTTCACATAATTGATTTTAAACTTGACTCTTATTTTGTTATCTATGCTTTTTATCCATTTAGGAAATAGCAAGAGCAGCCTTAAATTTTGCCTAAAAACTGCCTTATTACATATTTAAATAATAAATAAATAAATGAGAAAGAAAAGAACTTTAAATGAATTTGAGTTTGTTGAGAAGAAGGACAATGGTAAAGCTTAAGAAGAATTGGGGAAAGGTGCTTTTGGAAGAGTACGTTTAGCAATTGATAAATTAACAGATACAAAGGTAGCAATCAAAACGGTAATTAAAAGAGAATCTATTAAACTAGATTCCAAAGAAATTACTTAAAGAAAATGCTTAAGCTGAAAATATTAAGAGAGAAATTAAATTACATAGAAAATTAGATCACCCTCATATTGTTAAATTGTATCATTCACTAGAAGATGATACAAATGTATATTTAGTATTAGAATATGTTCCAATGGGAAACTTATTTGTTTATTTAAGAAAGCGTAAAACATTAGAAGAGTAAGAAGCCTTTGTTTATTTCTTGTAAACTGCATTGGCATTAGATTATTTACATAAGAAAGGCATTATACATAGAGATTTGAAACCAGAAAACATCTTATTAGATGCATATGGAAATATAAAGATATGTGATTTTGGTTGGTCAGCAGAACTTTAACCAGAAAGAAAAACATTTTGTGGAACATTAGATTACATGTGTCCAGAAATGCTAAACAGTTAAAATCATGATCATAGAGTTGATATTTGGGCTATGGGTATTTTATTATTTGAAATGTTACATGGTCATGCACCTTATAATAAAAATAGATCTTCATAAGAAGTAGTTATTAAAGCTATCTTAAATGCAGCTACTACTAAAATACCATTTAATGATATTATTTCTAATGATGTCAAGGATTTGATATAATCACTCTTAAAAGTTAATCCTTTACATAGATTGTCTATGGAAGACATCTTTAATCATAGATGGATTAAATCTAATGCTAGAACATTATCAATTAATATACCAGAATTTGTTTATGAAAAAGGAGTTAATGAAACTGTCTAATCAATTTAAGATATTTCTATTGATTTTGGAAATCTAACATAATCAACTAAAAATTGTAATCCATCAATTTAATCAAATATTTAATAGAAATAAGATAATCAAAATTTCAATTCTTAATTATTACCATCATCATAACCATCAATAAATAACTCAGTTTATTCATAATAATAATAATCATAATAATAAAAATAATAATCTACTACTCCTAATAAAAAACCATCATTTGAATAATTATTTTAATCTAATCATAATCCTATTGCTCCAACACCTTAATATGAATCAGCAAGTAAATCTCCCACAAGATTAACGCCTGAATAATAAAGATAAAAAAATGAATTACTTGGAATTAGTTCTATGGATAAATCCAAACAAATGGAATAATCCAAACAAATGGAATAATCTAAATATATGGAATAATCTAATAGAATAAATTACTAAATGTAATAAAGCTAAGATATATTAAAATAATCATAAATTAGAGATAAATCTCCAAATGAATCTATGTTGAATTCATATAATTAAGGAGTATCTCCTAATAAAACTGGTGTTAGTCCCAATAGTAGAAAACCTATTATAAGTGATAAAATGGCTTAATCTTAAATGATTATTAATAAATACACTTAGTAATAAAATAACTAATCATCGATGTTCAAAAGTTAAGATATTGCTAATCAATAATCATTATAATCAGATGAATTTACTAAATATATGTAATAAGAATAAGAAAGAAAAAGGAAAGAAGATGAATTTAGAAAATAATAATTAGCTGATTTATAAAAACGAGAGGAGTAAAGATTAATAGATGAATAAAGATAGAGAGAAGAAAAATAAAAATAAGAAGAATTAGAGAGATCAAGAAGATTAAGAGAGTAAGAATTAGAAAATTAAAGAAAAATTAAAGAATTTGAAGAAGAACAGAAACGTTTAAGAGAATAAGAAAAATAAAGAAAATAAAGAGAATAGGAAGAAATTTTATAAAAATAAAGAGAATAGGAATTGGAGAAATAGAGAAGAGATTAAGAATTAGAATAAATGAGAAGAGAAAAGGAAGAATAAGATAAATTAAGAAGAGAACAATTGAGAAGAGAATAAGAAGATAGAGATCGTAAAATAAGAGAATAAGAAGAATAAAAAAGAAGAGAAGAATAATAACTATAAGTAAAAAGAGAATAAGAAGAAAGATAAAGAAGAGAGTAAGAAAAATGGGAATAAGAATAGAAAGAAAGATTAAGAAGAGAGAAAGAAGAATTAGATAGAAGAAGATAATATGAAGAATAATAATAAGAAAAAATTAAACAATAAGAAAAATAGAAATAATAATATGAAGAATAATTAAGATTATAAAAATAATAGGAATAAGATAGAAAGTTACGTGAATATGAAGAATAGAAGAAATAGTTGAATAGATCTAATTCTAGAAATATTAGAACTTAAGAGACTGAAGAAGAGAGATAAGCTAAAAAATTGAAAGATTTAGAATAAAAAGCAAGATAAGAATATTAATAGCATTTGATAAATTAAAGTACTAGTAGTTATGCAAGTAAATAAATGGTTGAAAGCAAATAATAAAGAAGATAGATATCTGATGATGATCTTTTTATTGCAACCAATAATAATTCTTATATCCCTTAAAAATAAAAGAAAGAAATGACCGAAGATGAATTTGAATTAGAATAAAAATTACATAATATGCTGGTGTAAAATCTTTAATTAGAAATACCTCCAATTACAAAAACTTTAAAACCTGATGAAAATAGTAATCTTGATTGGGATATCAGTGTGATTGAATAATAATAGTAAAAATAAACACCTTTAATGGAATAATATGAAAATGTACAATAAAAACAAGTTGTAATGCATTAGATTTCATAAAACAATAAATCTGTTTCTCCTAATACTAGATAAACTAGATTTACTCCAAGAGTTACAAAAATGGAAGATAGACCTACACATATTAATAATATGTTGGATGATCAATTGGATGATTGGGATTTAAGTGAAGATCCTTAAGTTAAATTACTTAATCAATTACTTGAGTAACCAGAAAGACCAAAAAAGGAAAAGGAAAAGGAAAAACAAAATATAAATTCTAGTACTAATAATGGATATTCATCATAATCTTAATAGTAAATTTCTGTATCAACTCAACCTACAAATAAATTTAGTTTTGGTGAAAATAAAGCCAAATAAAATTTCAAACCAGAAACAATTGAAAATGTAGAGGAAAGTTTTAGATAAGATAGATCTATGAGAATGAATACATCTAGAGATAGAAGTAGGAATAAGATACCTGCTAAATCTAACCCTAAATATAAATAAATTTAATAACAATAAGAACCAGTTGAAGAATAGTATGATGAAGATTAATTAGAAGATTTGAAGAGATCCAAATCATCCAATTAAGAAAATACTTATGATTAAAAACTTAAATAATTTTAAAAATATGACTATGATCCATATTCTGTTAATTATCAAAATTAAACTCAAGAATAGTATATTAAAATTTATACTTATTTAGATATAAACCTAGAAAAAGTAGAATAAGTGAAAGATAAAATAGAACTATTCCTTAAAGACCTTTACAAGAAATGGATTTCTTTGATAGACTAAAATTTGCCTTTGGTTGTTTATCCAGAAGACAATGAAAATAATATAATTTTTAACTATAATTTTATTATTATATTATATTATTAGTTTATTTTTATTATTAAATTCATTAATATAATCTATATTAAAAAATATTACTTAATAGAAATACTATTAATTTATTAAATAAATGGGTTGTTGTTTTCGAATTAATGCTAATACATCTAACAATTAATTTAAAGTCAGAGAAGAGTGTAATTAATTGATTAATGAACTCTATGATAAATCATGGAGGTAAAGAAATGTAGATACTCAATATCAATAATTTGTTCGAGGTATAGAAAATAAATCTGAACTAAAAAAATACTATAATTTATCTTTATAGAGTTACTCAGATCTTTAAAAAATTTGCAATAAATTTAGATAGGTAAGAGGAGATGGAAATTGTTTTTATACTGCTTTCAGTTTTTAATATTTGTATATTCTCTTAATTAAATAAAATAATTAATCATAGAAAATTCATTAAGAATAATTCAAGAAATTTTAAGATAAATATAAGAATTTAGCAATGAAAATATTTACAAATGAAAATTTTTAAATTGATGATTAATAAACTTAAACTTTATTACTTCAAGAATTTTTCAAAAGATTATAACAATTAATAGATATTAAGGATGAATAAAAGAGGGAAGAAGAATTTATCAAATAATTCTAAAATTATGAAGATAATGAAGAAATAGATTGTTGTTTATATGGATTATCAATAATTTTTTTTCGAAATCTTGCTAATTAAGCTGTTGATGAAAATAAATTTGCAGATTTAATTCCAGATAGAGTGAATTTACTAATATGGGAAACTGAATGCAACAATAATGAAGCTGTTATACTTGCTCTTGCTAAAACTTTATAAATGTATTATTTTTCACAATAATCTTAGAAAATTATCTCTAATATTTTTTTAGAATAATGGATTTTTATTGAAGTAATATGAGGAGTAAAATGAAAACTAAATTATTTTGTTAATTAAACCAGGACATTATAATATTGGAATATTTTAATAAGAAAATAATAATTGAGTAAGATGTTTTCCTATAAATAAATGAATTATAAATAATTTATGATAAATCATTTTTACTTAAAATGTTTTAATCCTTAAGGATATCATATAATTTTTAAGAAGCTTTCAATATTTTTACATAAATGCTAAATTTTGTAATTATAATTTCTTAGTAAATAAATAATAATAATATTTTTATTAATTTTTTAATTACTTTTCATAAAATAGTAGTGTTAATGTCTTCTAATATTTTTTAGAATATTTGTCAAATTCACAATAGCAAAGTAATTGCTATTAAATTGTCTCCCAGTAAGTAATTAGATGATAATCTTATGTGTGTATATTGCTTTACAGAAAATGCTCAACAATCTCTTGCGCCAATAAATGAAATCTAAAAATTGTATGAAACAAAACTTGCATTCATAAAATAAATTCATACTAAAAAGCACTAATTAATTAATTCATCATTGAATATAATTATAGATACATTGAGTTAATTGAAAAATGATCTAAATATTTCAATAGATAAAGGAATTCGGTTGATTTAAAATCAATTATATTTAGAAAATTAAAATTAAAAGGAATAGTAAATTAGTCCTGAAGATAATGAGAAGACCTTAAACGATTATATTCAGTTTATAATTAATTCTGAGTTCAGTTACGGTTAATAGCAATAAAATGAAGATGAATTTGCTTGGATTTAATCCTTCTCTCAAGAATTAAAGAGATTCAATAAGATTTAAGAAATTTAGTATTGCTTATAAATATCAGAAGATCTTAAAAAATAGTATTTAATTAAAGATAAAAATATAAAGCCTCAAAATTTAATTAATTAATAGCTATAAACAATAACTTGTAATGAAAGAACTCCAAAGCTAAATTTAAATTGTTAAATCCACGGAAAAGAAATAATTATGTTTGATATCAATTAAACAACTGATAAGGATAAACGCTTATGTTGTGTAGAATGTATGCCGTTTCAATATATATCTTTAAATAAAGCATAGGAAAAATGGAAATAATTTGAAAATAGAAAAAGTAATTATTTTTAATAATAAATTCTTGATAAAGAATAATATTATGAATCGGTCAAGGAATAAATTATTAAAATTGAATACTAAATTATTGAGTAAATTAAAAATTTAAGGATTAGTTTTGAAGATAATCTATTCTTAATGAAATCAAAAATTGGTTCAATTCTCAATTAAATGAATTAAGACTTTTAAAATCTCACTTAGTAAGAATTATAAGAAAGAGCTTAAATTTTAAGTAAATCAGATGAAATTTAAGATATATTATTTTTTTCAGAATACTAAGATATTTAAGACTTTATACTTTAATAATTGAAGGAATAACTCCAGTAATTACAGTTTTACGAATAAAATTTATATGATAATTTAAGATCTACTTTATGTAACTCATAAGAAATAAGTAAAGCTACAAGTTAATCAGATTAAAATAATCTACAATATTTTATAATTGAAAATAGAGAAAAATCAAATAGTAATTAAATGGAATAATTTACATAAAGATCTTAAGAATCTCAAGAATTGAATAATAATACATAATATGCATTATAAATGATAAATGAGAATCGTTAAACTAGAAGTGCTTCAGCTTAAGTGAAATCAAAGGTTTAAGAAAACGATTATTAAGTAATAGAAGAAAATCAAATTAAAATAGAATAAGAAGAATAAATTTATGAAATAATTGAAAAAGTTCCATAAGATTAAAGTTGTAATGCTATATCATTTAATCATGATAATCAAATTATGATTAGTGGTTGTTAAAATGATATAACTGTTTGGGAATTTAATAATGGAAAAATGGTTTAAAAATAAAAATTAGCAGGACATACAAATTTAGTTATATCGTTATATTTCAGTTTAAATAAAAATGAATTCATATCAGGGAGTACTGACAAATCAATCAGATATTGGTAATTTCTTGAGAATGAGTGGAAATGTAATTAAATATTATTAGGGCATAAAAGATAAATTGATTGTTTATTATTTGATAATAAAGGTAATTAGATTTTATCATGCAGTTGTGATAAATCAATAAGAATATGGAGAAAAAACCAATAATTTAAATGGATATAAGTTTAAGTGTTGACTAATCATTAAGCTTATGTAAGATGTATTAGTTTCTGCAAGTCTTAAGATATGTTTGTATCATGTGGAGAAGATAAAATTATTATTGTTTGGGAAATCGATTAATTCAAAGAATGGAAGTTAAAATAAATAATTAGAAATTCTGACTATGGATATCGTATATGTTTTGTTGATGATTAATATTTAATTTGGCAACCAAGAAATATTAATTAGGCAATTATTTATTAATGGAACAGCAACTTGAATTAATTTGATTAAAGTTATCAAAATATCTAATTATTATAGTCAAGTAACGGATATTAGAATTTCTTTCCATCTATTTATAATGAGGAAAAATAATTAATTATAAATAAACATGGAAGATATGTCTATGTCTTAAAAAAATTAATTAACAATACATTTTTGATATCATAAGTAATTGAAGTTGGTCATTATTGTAATTACGGTTCATTAAGTAAAAATGGTGAATACTTGGTAATATGGGATGAGGATTCGAGAAATTTTGTTATCAGGAAATACAAAATTTGATAAATTTATAAGATAATCATTATAAATATTACAATTGTTTTAAAATCAATAATATTGAGTAAAGTAATATATTATTAATACATTTTAAATTAATCCGCAATTGAATAAGTCGAATTATTTTTTCTTATTTGAAGTTAATTTATGTTTTGAATTGACAAAGATTTATATGGATTACAATAATTTTATGCTTAATAATAAAATTTGTAAAGTATTTTATTATGGGAACTTGTTAAGTTAAATTACAAAATATAGATCAGAAAAAAAATGATGATTAAATTGAGACAACATCACAACCTAATATTTAATAATTACAACTCACTCCTCAGGTTAGTAATATTGTTGGAGATTAGGATAGAATGGATGATTTATTTTTAGATTTTGATAGATAAACATCTTTGAAACCTGTTTAACAGACTACAACCTTGCAAGAAAATGTAAAATAATTTTATTATGACAAGTTCTAACTATCATCTAAAATCTAAATTACTCATGATCCATAGTCTTAGTCTCTAGACCATTCATAGTAAACAAACAAATCGCCAAAGAAATTAAAAAACTTGAATACTAAATTTAAAGAGATGATATAATGAAATACAGTCTGGGAAAGTACATTAAATTGAATTAATATTCATACGAAATACTATAAGTAAACTCAGTTTCAACTATTTTCAAGTTTATTTAGATTTCTCAACTTCCATTACAACATATAAAAATTTTAATATTTATTAAAAAATAATATCTAATTAATTATTTTACAAAATTAGAGTTTTTATTCCATAATAATCTAAATTTGAAGATAAATAGATCTCTCTTTTAATAAGATATGAAATTCCATCAAAGAATAACAATATTTCTATAGATATATTCATTGCAGTGATTATTTTTCATTTTGATAGCATAGATATTATAAATAATCAAATTAAATATTTTAAGTTTTATTATTCACTTTTCTGAGCTTAAATTTATTTATCGCAATTTTTTAATCCTAATAGATTGATATTCAGAAGGATTATTAATTATTTATAAATTCTTTATTATCCTCTGTTTCACTCATTTAATTAGAACATTTATATATTTTCGTGCAATTTATATTTGAGTTCCAGATTTTCAAATATATTATCAAATTATTATTTAGAGAATATAAGTTTAAATCTAACATACTAATTTCTTATAAGAATTAAATTTATACCTTTCTTCAAAGCCTTGAGAATATTAGATATTAAATAACTTAATAATTTAGATTCTACAATATAAATTTAAAATAAACATTTTATATATTCTTAAAATAATAAAATAAATTTAGTTTGAATCTCATAAGCTTTTAAGGATTCAAGAAAAATTATTAAATATAATTTTACAATAATTTTAATTTGAAAATAAGAATAGAAACAAAAATAATATTTTTTGAAAACCTTTAAATAATTTTGATTCAATGTTAGTCATCTTCTACTTGATAACTTCCAGGTCCTAATTCAGCATGTTTTTCAACTTAAAATCTTCTGGATTTGCCAAAGCTGGTATTAATATTACTTTTTTTAATATATTCAGATTAATAAAGAAAATCTTTAATATCATAGCTACCAGGTCCTAATGAATCATTAAGTTTTGATTTATCTTCTAAATTTTATTTTAATTTTTTTCCATTTTTTTTATCAACATGATCAACTTAAATAAAATCTTTAATTTCATAGCTACCAGGGCCAGGAAGATTAAGTTTATCATGAACACTCTTTCTAATTCTTTCCATATTTTTTCTTCTGACCTATTATTTAATTTGCATCGCTGATTTAGGTCTTAAATTATTGACCTCTTTTTCTTTTTCTAATTATTATTTCATTAATTCTTAAATATATTTATCTTCTTTTCTATTGTAATAAGATCTGACCATAAGTTTAGGTTTAAAAAGTCTTTCTATCCTATCTATTTTTTTTCTTTCTACTTTTTGATCAATTTTATATGCCCCAGGACCTGGAGTTATAAATTTAGAATCATTTTATGATAATTTTCTTGAAGTTCCAAATGAAATGCTTCTACAAGATTTTTGATTTAAATCATAAGTACCAGGACCTGGTTATTATTGTTATTATTCACTGTTATGTCTTGAATTGAAAACAAATGTTTTTTATTACATGTTTTATAGAATATTATATTGACCAGGTCCTGGATTTTGGAATTATTATAACTATTTTCTTTATCCTTTAGTAAAACTGATACGAGGGCGATTTTATAATAGATGAGCTGGATGTTAAACCTCATAAGAACCTGGCCCTACATATTATTTTTATCGTTAAGAATTCTATCTATAATAGGTGTATGAATTTGAATTTTCAGGAATAGACAAAGCTTATTCTTATGTTTTAATTCTAATTCTCGGATTTGAATTTAATTTGGTTGTTATCCCTGATCTATTTGAATAGGCACTCAATCTCATTTCATTAAATAATTTATTAACTTATGGCTCACTCGAACCCACTCTAAAATGATGATCAATTTTGACTACATTTAAGCAACTGGAAGAACCTTATCAAGATATTGAACATCTAACATCAAAAATTTATTTTCTCTTATTCTAATTATATTAATTTATCTAAAGTAATTATTCTTGAATATCAAACATGTTTACAATTATCATCAAAACCAATACTATTATAATATTTGAAAAACACATTTTAAATCTACTAAACAATTCAAATAGCATGGTCTATTTAATAAATTAAAAATTTACAAACCTATTGATTAAACAGTATAACTATAATCTCAATTTTTTGCAAATTTTTCATTTAGATTCTATTTGATATTTCGATTAACAATTAGTAAATTGATGATTAATTTGATTCATAAACATATGGAGAATAAATTAAAATTAATTCTTACAAACAAATAGAAAATGAATAAGATTAGTCTTTTAAATGCTAAATAAATCAGTCTGATGATAATCCTGGATAAATATAGAATAACTTAGGAAAGAATAAATACTATTATTTTAACAGTCCTTAATAAAATTATGATTAATGTGAAGTATAACCCTAACAATTTAAATAATAATTTAGTATACAATCAAATTAGGGGAATTTTTATATGTATGAACAAAAAAATCTTTAAGATATGAATCAATAAAAATATTAGTAATAGCCTCAACATCATTAATATAATGAATAAAAGAATTTAGAATATAGCTTAATTACAAACGATTCTCAAAAATAATTAAATATTTAAAAATAGAGTTCACAATAATAGTTCTATAAGTAATAATAATTCTAAAATGTCCCTAACTTCTAGTAAAATCAATTCGATTAATATTAATATCAATATCACCACTAATAATAATAAAACTATTAGAGAATGAATTAGTAAAATTTAAAAATATCAAAATATCTTAATAATAATAATTTTAAAGAGTATCTAATTAAGAAACATAAGAAAATTTTAATTCTAAATAAAATGATCTATCCGGCTTGTTGAAATGTAAATGCCAAAAAATAATTCATAAAATAAAAATAATTAATAAAAGTAATAAATTCTTTAGGTTCCATAATCGATTATCACTCAAATAAGAAAGGAGGATTAATTTGAAAATCAATATAAACCATATCACAAACTTATTGATTACTTTTTTAAATATGCAGACATTGAAATTAAAGTTACAAATATAGATTAAATTATTTAACCTCACCTAAATATAATTTAAGAAGAGTTATCAAATTTAAAATTAAAAATATAAACTTAATGTTTAGATTAAGAAGAATATTATTAATAACAGAGGATTTATTAAGTAAAAGAATAATAAGCAAACAATATTTCTTAATTAGATAAAATGACAATTCTTCATAGTTGCATAATTAAAGAATTTTTTGAAGAAGCTAATAATAAATAACTAAATATGAAGATTAATTAAAATAATTGCATTCCAAGCAAAAAGATAATAATAATTATAATTTAGTAATAGGTTTTCCTTAAGAGAACAAGATTATGATGTAAGCATCAAAGAATTAGATAGAATAGGAAAAGGATAAGATAATTAAATTAATCTATTGATTAAAAAATGAGATTTAAAGTTTTCAGACAAAGAAATAAAATTCATTGAAAAAAACTTAAAGGTATTAACTGATGATTATCAAAAAAACAATGATATAATTATTTCTACTTCTACTTATGGTGATTAGAGCCAGATTTAAATATAATCTTAGTAATCAATAGCATGTACATTAGAATATTAAAATAAGAAGATTTAAATAGTTTATGCTGATATTTCAAATGTTCGATGTGATGCAATAGTAAATTCATGTAATAACAAAATGTCTTTTGGTGATCCCTTATAATTAAGTGGTGTAGCTAATAGTATTTTTAGATTGGGAGGAGCATCATATCATTAATTTTGTTTAGACTACATCAATAAATATAATGAATTGAAAATAGGGAAAGTAGTTACATATAATATGCCTATTGGAAGATAGATTAAAAATATATTAAATGTAGCAACTCCAATTTATTCTAGAGGAGATGAAGCAGATGATGATTTGAATAAAATAAAAGATAATATTGAGGCAATATTCAAGGAAATTAAGAATTTAGATGAGAATCTCTGGCTCTTCCAATTTTTGATGGAGGAGCATGTGGATATAGTTTTAATTAAGCTGCATAACAAATATTAAATACTACAATAAATTAATTGTATTCATAGTAATTAAATTAAAATACTATAAAAACTATTTATATAGTAGAGTTAATTGATGTTAAAATTTAAAAGTTAACTTAAATATTAGCATAGATGTTAAAATAACCTGATAAAGAAAGAGAAATTAAATATTAATGGTAATGGATAGAGGAAAATATTTATAAAAATTATGATGATGAGGATTTTAATAAATAAATTGATGAAGCATATGAATTATTTTAATTAACAGGATAAGAATAAAAGGTCCATTTAAAATTTCCATATTCTAAATAACCTGGAACACATATGGTCAATTTTAATAATAATACAGTTTATGATATTTCCTTAAATAAAGAGAAAAGTTAGTTTCTAAATTTGTTTCTAATACAAGGAAGTTTTATTTTGATTAAGAAGAACTAGATGATTAAGTAAATGAATATCTTTTGCTTTAAGAAATGAGTAATATTAATTAGTTTACTATATTTTTAAAAAAACATCTTGTTATTTTTAATGAAGGAGAAATGTATTAAATTAATTAAGATACAAAATTTAGGAGAAATATTAGACCAACTCCTTATTTAAATTAAAAAAATTAATCAAAAAAGAAAACTAATTATTTAATTGGTAAAAAATATAACTTCAATGAATCTCCTCATTAAATTTCATAATTAATTAATAAGAAAAACAAAAATAATATATTTACACTTTCTTCATTCGAAGGAAATCGCAACGAAAATATTTTTAAAAAAATCTAATCAGGATTAAATAAATCTATCTTGTTTTATTAATTTGAAGTCCCTTATTTCCCAGATGAGTAAATGGAGATATTTTAAGAATTTATAGAATAGATCTCTTTATAAACTTAAGGAAAATTCCTTTAGGGAGAAAAAATAACTGTTAAAATTTTTGATAAAAAATAACAAAAAATTTAAAATTATATTAAAATAAATATAAAAACAAGTAAAGTAATATCCAAAAGATTGGCAACCACAATATGATCAAAATTTTATTAAAGTCCCTCTTTAACCAGTATCTAAAGAATATAAAAAAATATCAGATTTATTAAGGAAGGAACCATTTATGAGATTTACAGAATTTAAAATAAATCTTTATGGGATAATTACATAATTGAAAAAAATAAATTGATTGAAATATATAAACAACAAAATGAGTTTTTAAAGAGATCGAAAAGTATTTATGGCATGGTGTAAGAAATTAGCATCCTAAAGTTGTTTATTCAGGTTTGAAGGAAGCATTTGATTAGACCTATAGTTAAGTAAAAATTATTTTAGAATAATCCTTAGGTTGGTCTGTGGGGAGCTGGTATCTATTTTGCTGAAAACGCTAGTTATTATAGAAATTTCTCCTATTAATTAAAATAGTAAGATGATTCAAAAAATGTCGGCAAGCTTGTATTTTTATGTTGTTTGGTAACAACTGGAAAAGTTGAAATAAAGCAACAAGATAATTCTATTAAAAGACCATCCTAAGGTTATGATTGTGTATCAGGTTTCACTAATGGTAGTAATGTTTTTATTCTATACTCAATGGACATAAGAAGAGCATATCCAGCATATGAAATAGTTTATTCATGAGGATTTATATTGATATCATTTATTTAGAAGTTTAAGTTAAATATTTAATAATTTCTATTTCAAATTTCTTACAATAAAAAAAATCTTTTAACTTTTGTTTTCAATATTTATTGATAACATTTTTTGATTTACTTAAACAGTTTCATTATTTTTATCTCAATCAAACAAGATCTTATGAAATTAATAATTTATTTATTCATTAGTAACTGTATCATTAAATTTTAGAAATGATTTCAATTTGTTAAAAGTATTTTAAATTAAAGTAAGTTATGAAGCATCAAACTTTACTCTTAAATATTAAGATTAAATATTTATCAAATATTAATTCTAGAGTAATTAAGAGTATTTTATTGAAATAATTAAACATTTGCTAATTTTCATAGAGATCTACTACGGAAGTAAATTATTGAAATTGGTTATGATAAAAAATGAAAATAGTTTAAATATCATAAAAATTTTAAGATGAAATTATATGAAGAATAAAATAATATTGGTAATTTAATAGCAGGTTAAAAAAATTGGAAAAACAAAATAAATTACAATTAATGATATTAATAGAATTTAGTCATCCAATTCAATTATTGGCAGAGTACCATCTATCATTTTATAATTAATTTGTTTAGAATGATATTTTAATTATAAAGCATATTAGTATTTATAAAATTTATATGATATCTAAATTTGTATGAATGATAGTAATTTTGTGATCCATAGAAAAATAAGAGATTGTCAACTTATATTGAATTTAATTTAGTAATATAAATGTGAAAGTTGTTGAGAGTTTACAAAGAAATGATTATAAATGAATAGTATATTTATTAATGGAAATAAATAAAGTTCAAAATAAAGCAAAATATGAATCATTTGATTATGGATAGTATGAGAAGTTAAAGAAACTCTTTCATGATCCTAGTTTTGAACCAATATAAGTTGAGGAATTAGATTTATCAAATGAAAAGGCAAGTCAGATGCCTAATGTATTATGTTTACAACTGTTAACACATCTGAAGGTTTTGGTATTGAGTGGAAATCAAATACAAAGATTTCCTGGAAGATTAGTAGCAAAAGAATTGTAGTGTCTTACAATTTTAGATCTTTCAAACAATCTAATTGAAGAATTAGATGATATTGCAGATATGAACTTACCCCATTTATCAGTTTTAGATTATTAGGGAAATTATGCATGTTCATATTTATTAAGGATAACTTAAATATAATAATTGTTATGTCCAAAGAGATATGTCAAATATAATCCAGTTAAAGTATTTACAGCATCATATAATCAACTTCCAGTTTGTAGACTAACAGAAGCTTAATATTAGGAGGAGAAGAAATGTTTAAGATCTATATAAAGAGCACCAGAAGAATTTAAACCAGAAGAATTAATGAATACTGTTTCTAAGTTTTCACATAAAAATACATTGGGGAAGTTTTGTTTAGAAATGTGTCCAGTTCCTAGAAAAACTAGATTTAAGAATTTAGAATATTTGAATGGAACTTAAATATCGAAAATGGATATTATGAGAGTTACAGGAGTAGATAATTATAAGTTGGCTTTAGAAGTAGAGAATTCGGAGACATAAAAGTATAAACATGCTAAAAAATCTAAATTACATAATGAATATATATAGAAATATATTAAAAGAGTATAAAGATTGTTGGAAGAAAAACCATCTAATGATCCTGATGAAATATTAAAAGCAAAAAAAGTAAAAAAATTGGATTAAAAGAAATTTTCTGTTTGGGAAACTCCTTTAGATGTTTAATACAAGGATTCTGAATTTACAATAGGGATAGAGGAATTTAAATAATAAAAGAAAGAATTTGAAGAATAAAAAAAGTAAAAGTTAGAGAGGAGACATAGAAAATAAATAGAGAGAATAAAAAAGAAACATCCATCATTTGAAGAGAGTGAAAGTGATCATGAGATTAGAAGGATGTATTTGACTAGTAAAGTAAAACCTAAAATGAATTTAAGTAGAGATGAGGATAGAATATACAGATCTTCAGAAAGTTCATTGAGTGAAGGAGATAGTCCTTAAGAAAGATCAAGTACAAGTTAAGAAAGTATAGAAATGAAGGGACCAAAATCAGTAGCTAAAGTAGAAGCTAAACCAATTAGTTATTATAGAAAGAAACCAAAAGAAGAAAGTAAGAGCAAAGAAATTGTATAATAAAGGAAAATTCAGTAGTAGAATAGATAATAAAGAATAGAAATGATGATAGAAAATGAGAGTAGTGAAAGTGATTAAGAAAGTAGAAAATAAGTAAAGAAATCATCTACTTAATAACTATTGAAGAGTAATATTAAATAATAAACAAATTCTCCAGTTGGAATTCCTTAATAAACAATTCCTGCATAAAAAATAATAACTAAGATGTTACATGATGAAAATAGAAATACATTTGATTTGGGTAATAAATTAAGTGCATAACATCCAGTTATAAGAGAAGGAGAATACAAAGAGTAATAATTTTAAAGAATGCTTAAAGTAAAAGAAGCAGCACAGAAAGAGAGATAGGAATTAGAATAAATAAGAAAACCAGTTACTGCTTAACCATAGGTAAGATAGAAAGTGAATAGAGTGATAGTTGATGGTTAGAAGAAGAAAGCTTTACCTACTCCATAAAGAGAACTTGTTAAATTGCATGGTGATTTAGATAAAGCTGAATTTTAGAGAATTCAAATTCCATTAGAAGAAATGATTCCGACAGAAGAGTAAGGAGTGCCAGAGAGATTTAGATAAGAATTTCTATATAATGTTGATAGTGAAACATATAAAGAATTGTTACATTATAAAGGTATCTTAGAAGAGAGTTTGAATCTTAAGGAAGCATGGAAAGAAATGGATGCTAAATTAGAAATATTGGGAGCTACTAAACCTGATAAGGAATTAAGATTCAAGGCTAATGATTATAATGCTGTTCATACATATCTTAAAGCTAAATATAAAGATAAAATAAGTCCATATGAAATGAGAGAAATCATTTATGGAGCTAATGATTATGATTTATAAGCAGAGCCTAGAATCTAAGAAAAAGATATTATGAAAAGATTGGAATAAGAAGATGTTACTTAGGAAGAAAGATAGGTCTTATATAAATGGATAGAAATTTTGGATGACATTAGATTGAAATAGACAAAAACAGATGATAAGAGATTAAGAAGAATTGAAATTAAGGAAATTGAAAGAGCATAATCATTTGCACATCTGTAAAACTTTTCATTATTTAACTAGTGCTTATCATTATTAAAAGTTAAAAAAGTATGTATCTGCTGATAAACTTTAAAAATATGTAAAAATGATGGGGATTCCATTAAATGAAATTTTAAATCAAGATAATTAAAAGTTAAAGACAGGATAAAAGAAAAAGACTGAAGTTGTTAATAGATAGAATTTCTAATAAACAAAAGTACAAGCTTAAAAGAAAGATAAAGAATAAAAGGATTTGGCAAAGTAGATGATGCAAATAGAGGAAGATAAGGCAAAGATGTTGAAGGAATATGAGGAAATAAATTAATAAAGATACAGTAACATAAAAGCTGAAATAATGAGTGATACTGGTAATTTGGCTACAAATGATCCATATTATTTAAAGTGTCTTAGCAAATTGGAATAAGATAAAGTGGATGTCTTAAATAAAGTAGCAAAATACAACATTCCTTTTGAGAACATGGTTGAATAGAATTTAAGAAAGTTATAAGATTAATTCATAACAACTTAAGGTCCAACAGATTTAGAAGAATAAATGATGAAGTATCTATTATTAAATATAAAAAATTAGATATGCATCTGAGTTTAAAGAGAAGATTAAATAGAGAGAACGATTACAGTAGAACATAAATAAACATATAAGTGAGACATAGAAGAAGTTGGATGAATTTTGGATGTGGGAAGCTAAAGAGAGAGAATTAAGAGATGATAAAGTAGCTAGTTTAATGAGATAAATAAAGAGATTGGAATTGGATGATTAATAAACTATATAATTTTGATAAGATTTTATCAATTGATTGATTGCTTGAGTTGATTGGTTTCATCAGTTACTTCAATAAACATTTTGGTTGCACTCTTTTCCCAATTCAAGAGTATCAATCTTAAGAATAAGACTACAGCACTCACTGATAATCCACATGCCCATCCAAACCATAGACCTTTTAATCCATATTATTAATAATATCCCCAATAGATTCCAGTACCTATTCCAATTGCATATTAACATAATAATTAAACATTTATAGTGAATGCTACTTCTCCTAATGCTCCCAATAGATTAGCTAACATTATTTGCATACCACCTATTGTAAGAGTAGGTAAGAATAATTTTAAATTATTAGATAAAATAAGAGATGTCTCATTATCCATATAAAATAAAGCAATCCATTGTTATTTAAAAACTACCAATAAAAAACTTAATAATATTCCAGTCATTAAACTTGTTGCTAAATAATGCCATACATGTTTTCTTCCTTTTTCATATTCCTAATCTTTGAATAATCTTCTAATTCTTTAAGCAGCTGTCATAGATACACCCAAAAAAAACATATATAATGCTTAAGCTGTGAAGATCAGACAAACACATACTGAAAATTCTTCATATGTTAACCATAATGCTACAAACCCCATTATTTCAAAAGACACATTTTACAAATAGTTTTTAAATGAAGAATGTAATAATCCATATGAAAATTAAAATATTGACTTTAAACTTCTTCTATCCCATTCTATCCATGCTGGATGATTTTTTTAGTATTTAAAAATGTATATATATAGTAATAATGATGAAGTACAACTTGAAAAGTTTTTACACCATGCAGCTCCTCTTATTCCAAGATCTAAATATACTATCAATTATTTAGATAAATAAATATGTAAAATCTTAATTTATTTATGAATTTTCTTACTGTTGTAAATATTTGAATTACTAAGACTGGATAATCTATGCCCATAGATTTCAAATAATTCTTTGTACAATCAAAATATGTAAATGCATACAAAGCTGGTAACATCTCCCATACATATTAAATAGCTTTCTAAGCTACAATTCTTTTATATTTTAAATAACCTACATTGGAATATTAAATTATGAAAGGATATATGTTGAAAAAGCTATTGCTGGAGTTATCACTATCAAAAATACTCCATTCAATAATAAAGATCTCTAATATGAGATCCCAATCTTAACATAATGGTGTGATTTAAACTATCTAGACATCAATGTTGTTATGCTAGAATTCATACAAAGTAATAAGCCTTTTACTAATAAATTCACATATATAGTTCCAAAACCTATCCCAATCACATCTTTAATTATTATAAATTATTACTGTCTCTCCCTATTATGAAATACATATTCACTAACGTTGTTAGTATACTCAATTCCTATTTTCATAAATATCTATCTTTACCATTCCAATTACAGTTGGTAATGCTTTTACCAATAATGTTTCAAAACTGGACAGAAATTGAGAAAACGTTGTGATTTCTATATTCTCCTCTGTCATCTATAACCAATTATATAATAAATAAGAATATAAATTTTTATATACCACCTTTATCCATTTAAAATAATCAATTTCGTATTCCTATTACATCAATGACTATTGCTAAATATCGGAGGTAATTAATTAGCTTTAACCTTATCAAAATCTATGTTTCTCTCTTTCCCTTAATCGATCTCTCCTAAAACTGCTACAGTATCTCCTCTTATCACTTACAATCCTGCATTTAAAAATTTAACACCACTTTCTATTGAAAATACTCTTTCTTCACTATTTTACAATACACAATTCATTGCTTAATCTATTCCTATTAGAATCCATTTAATATATCATTATATTATACCCACAAAACACTCTCCCATCTGTTGTTATAGCCTAAACTTTCTTATTAAGCATTATTTCAAATGGATTCACACCTTCTTTATACATATATTTTCAAAAAATATTATTATTATATGAAAACAATTTATATCACAAAATATAAGGAATTATGGCTTTTCGTTATTTAGGGTAGTTGTGGAATTTATTTTTATACCATTTATGGGTTGAAATTGCTCTAGCTGAAAGAATTGATAAAGTTGAAAAGAAAAATAAGAATCCACTCCATTATCCACTAACCAAAAAATATCCAAACCTTTTTGTTTATTTTTTTATTTATACCATTCAATTATTTCCCCTAAATAGTGACCAGATGATACTAATTCAAATAAATTGCCAAATGGAATTTTGTATTCATTAGAATTTATTTTCTTTAAATTTCTCAATATATTATCACATTTGATATTAGAGGTCATTCCATAAAGAAATACAAGGAGACCTAAAAGAATTCTTAAATAATCAAAAATTTGGAATTAATGATCTTGATTTAAATGAGTTGATATTTATAAATATCCATTACAAGTAGTGAATAAGATAGCACTAGTAACAACTTCAATAGGAATGGGTCTAGCAAATGGAGATAATCTTAATTGATAATTAAATTATTGATTACCTTAAAGGATAGATGATTACTCTGTTGAAGTAATGAGTAACAAACAATATAATTGGTAAACTATTTAAATCAAACTTAATGTCTGAAAGAAAATAAATAAACCATATTAAATTAGGACATTCATAAAGTATCCATCCTAATTTTGATGGTAAAGTCAACTTCATATAATGAGAAAGATGTTTGCCATATCCAATTTTAAGAAGATCGGCAGTCCAAGCTGCAAAACTAAACCCTAAAATAATAATAATGGAGATGAATTAAAAATCAAACATAATTAAATAATATTATTATATTTGCTTAATTAGAATATCTAATTCTTCAAAGAATAAGATATTAATTAATTAATTTTAATTAATCTATTAGAATAGGCTCCACTAATTAAAAATGTAAAGAGTTATTACAATACTAATTATAAATTAAACTTTTAATAATGTATATAAAATTTTATTAATAAAGTTAATTAACGTTGAAATGCATACTGTTTAATTAATACAACCATTAAGGTAAGTTTCACCACAAGCGATAGAAGCTTTAAAATCGTTAGAGTAATTATAAACTATTTCAAATACAAAAATAGTTAAAAGAATTACTACCACATCTCCAATCAAATAATTTTTCTTGAATGGTAGATAATTAACAGTGTTTGGAAATAATAGTCATACAAAAATAATTTAATCACCATCTTCTTATTAACCTATTCATTAAACTGATCGAGTATAACCATAACATAATAGAAATATTTCATTTGAAATGCAAAACTTTAAAAAGTAGGTCTAAGATAATATATTACTCTAAACTGTTATTTCAAAATATGAATCTTCTCCTAAAATGAGTACTCCAGTTAAAAATTCTGGAACTTAAACACCTACAATGTTTAATCGTAATTCATGCGATAATATAAATGTATTAAAGGAATAAAATAAATGTGATTCAATTGAAAATAAGTCTCCATAAGTAAATTTGATTCAAAAAAAGAAATTAATTTTAAATCAAATTTTACAACTAGATAATGAAATTAAATTAATGTAAGATGAAGAAGCTAAAAGAAAATTAGACCCATTAAGATAAAAAACATCAAATTAAACATCCATAGCTCCAATTTCAATTAGAGAATCATTAGAAAAATAAGCAAGTACTAGTACTTTTATGTAAAAATTAAATGAATGGATGAAAAAAAAGAAAACTTCTCATATTGATGAAAAAATAGAAGAATAAAATAATTCTATTTTAAATTCAGCTTCAAGGGATGTATGATTATGTATAATATTTAGTATACTTTTAAAGGAAATTTAACAACTAAAGAACGTAATTATGAATCATTTTATGATCGTAATAAGAAATGGTAAAGAAGAGTAAATGCAAAAAAATAAAAAATGAAAACTTAAAAATCTATGATATAATTAAAAAAAGAATCAAAATCTCCAAATTAAAAGGTTTGTAGACCAAATTCCTCTGAATTAAATTGTTGGATAAGAGGAAAAGAATTAAAGAACTCTCAATCGCCTCAATAAAATAAATAAAAATAAAATAAGATATAGTAATAATTGGCAAAAAAATTACGTTTTTGAATAAATATTATCATTCAAGTTTTATTTATTTTATTCTGTTTTGTAGGAGAATATTATCATATATATTTACATAAGATTAAATATTATATCTTTAATAATTATTTAATTTAAAAATAATTCATAATTATATGATAAATATCGAATGAGTTAAATAGATTAAGAAGATTTAAAAGTTTAGATTTAATTAAAGTGAGATATTAAATAAAAAAGACTATTTGTTTTTTGTATAGTATAATTTTAGTAAATAAATAAATAATAATAATATTTTTAATTAATGATAGTATTTTGTGCTAATTCATTGCCTTAAGTAATAGCAAATTAAGGTCTTAGATAATTTTAGGTAATATTACAAAATTTGAAACCTTAAATAATTGTTAATTAATGTGGAGGTGATATTGAAACAAGATCGCATTATTTTATAAATCATTTAAGTAAATTGAATGAACCAATTCATTTAATTGGTTATGGGATAGCTGGATTAGATTTAAGATATGCATTAAATTAGAATAATAATATAAGAGCAAAATCTTTAATCACAATAGGTACACCTCATAGAGGATCAATATTAAGTGATTTGTATAGAAGAAAAAGAATAGAAGATGATGTAATTGAACCAATTTGCAGAGTATTAGGTGTTAAAAAAAATTACTTTGAAGAAATCAATACTGAAAATATAAGAGATTTCAATTTGGTGACCAGAAATAAAGAAAATATTAAGGTAAATAAAATTGGAATACAAAGTATTTTAGTTTGAATGCAGAGACTGAAATTGGTTAAATGTCATAAATATATTAAGCAAGTGGAACAATTATTGAAAGTGAAAAAGAATATCCAGTAGAAAGTGGATCTGATGGAGTATTTGCTCATAATGAAACTAAATGGGGATAACATGTTGCTACATTAGATTGTGATCATGGAGCTATGATTGGAGTACCTGATCCAAGAATTGGTGAATAAACTGTGGATATAATTTAATAATTGATCTAAGATATATGATCAAATAAAATGCATATTATATTATTTTATCATTATTAGCTTTATTATTGATTTTATTCTTAAGTCTTTTTCATTTATTCATCAAAATCAATTTCATACTCACTTACATAATGTATAATTTCTTTTACAAATGATTTAAATTTATTTTCCTTTATTAATCTTCCTAATTATATATTTTAAAGATAAAAATCTAATATCATGTGATAATATATTTAAAGTATATCAAATATTTTTATTGCTATTTTAAATATTTCCATTGGAGCAACCTAATATTAATTATTTTATTATACCAATGTTATTGATGTTTACAAGGTTAATCTTCTAGATTCATCCACATATATATTTATTGCTGTTGGTTCTTTTGCAATCATATTTGATAAATACATCAGATCATCTGCTGTATCTATTGAAAATTATATTTGTGAAATTATTAGTTTTATTATAATGTTAGATTGATTACATTCAAATAGATAATTTATTTATAAATCCTCTTCAGAAATCTATTATTAATTATTTGCATTATTCATTGCCATCTATTATTAATTTATACTCGTTAAAGGTCTATAAACCCTATTTATTAAACTTGACCATGTAAATTCAAATAAATTTTTCTCGTTTTTCAAAACTTTTACTTTGTGTTTATTATTAGAAACTTTATTAAATGGTATCCAATCTTTTCTATCTTCAGCTATCTTATTTGATAATAAATATTCATGTATCTTTGACATAAATTTTCCAAATATTTCACTACTTTCTGAATTAAATTCTTAAGTTAATCCATTAAAAAAACCAGTTAGAATTGTAAATTATTTTAATAAAGTTTCTTCCATAGAATTACTTAATATTTGCTTTTAAATATTATCTGAAGAAGATTTTTCTTTTGATTAACCATTTATAATTAACGAATCTTAACTATTAAAATTTCTAAATGTTTCTAATAACTTTTTATTGTTTTATAACTAATATAACAACATACTTTATTTAAATATGTATCTAGGTTATTTCTTTTTTATTTTTTCCTCTTTATGTAGAAAATCAACTCCTTTTGACTCATCCACAATTTTTAACAAATCCTATTCAACATTAAAATTGTTATTTTTTGACAAATTTTCTTAAAAAAATTTTAAATCTTCATCTTAATCCTTAAGTTAACTTTAAAATTCTTAATAAAAGTTTGATAAAAAATTATATGTCTATTTTTAATAAAATTATTTACAGCATTTTAATATAATTTGCATCGAAAATCTAAGAATTTCTATTCTGTATTTTTTTCTTAAGATTAAAATAAATATCTAACAATCAAAGAAAATGTAGGCAAAAATAAGAATAATTCTGATTCTTTTTGATAATACAGATTATCTTTAAAAGGATCAAAAAATAATCTAGTAGAGTTATTTAGAAATGAAAAAATACCCACAATTAGCAGACCAATAAAAGATCTCTATTAAATTAAACAAGACGCTTTTTAAATTTGTAATATCAAAATTTTTTAAGTCTTATTGATTTAAAGCCAATGGAAAAGCAAGTCTAAATCCTTCATCTATTATAGATTATTGATCTATATATGAAATCTCAAATTTTTCGCCGTCTAATCCATCATAATAATATTAAATGTTTAGACCATTTGGTTTAGAAATAATTTTTTCAATTTTAGCAACTTTGATGTAATTTGAAAATGGGAATCTAATATTAAAAAAATTTTACTTAAGATGTAATTCATCTTAAATTTATTTGTACTATTCAAATAAATATAACAAAGTTTACTTAGCTTCTTCAGTAAGATCTTATAATATTAGATAGTCGATTAGAAAAGAGTGATTTTCAAAGTTGTAAGAAATAGCATTTTAGATCATTTATTAATAATAATATTTATATTATTCAAAAATTTTCTCTTGGATATTTTGGTAATAATTTTAGAAATGTTCTAATTGATTGTAAAGGGCGAGATAACTTGCTTACATAATTAAATAAAGAATAAGGAAGAATTTTAGGTAATTCAAATAAAGAATTTCTTATAATTTATTAGGATCATTATTTTAAATAATTAAAGTATCTAATTTTTCTTCATTTAATATAGAAATAGAACCATTTAATTTATATAAAATATTTGATGTAATAGAATAATTAAGAGTAGTTTTAGGTTGACCCGAAAAGTATTTCAGCTATCACATACTTATATAATTGATTTTCTTAATCTTTTACAAGATTATATTAATTCAGATTATTGTTTATTATTAGGAATAAGATCTCCTACTTCAATAAGATTTCTTTTTTCTAGAATATTTTAATGTGACTTATATTATATACTTACTCTTAATACCATTAGTATCCAATCCATCCCATATAAGAATTACTATGTGATAATATCCATATCAAATTATTTATTTAATTCAAAATTTTCTAATTAAATATGTATATTTATTTTTTTAATGTAAAAAATTGCATAAAAGCTCCGCAAAATTTTTATATCATTTAATGTTTTATTTATTTATTTATTATTAATTGCTAGAATGGACCAAGACTATAAACCCATCGATATTGATTATTTTACATAACAAATACATAGTCTAATATTAGAATGCAAATAAAGTCATAACTTTGATATTAATTTGTTTGTCCAATTTGCATCGTATTTATTAAAATTAATTTGATTTATAGCAAAACAAGAAATTAAATTAACAACACTTCTAATTCAAAATAAGCATGTTTTCTGATCGTTATTTAACTATAAAAATGCTTACTCTAAATATTTGCACAATAATTTTAAAATAAACCTGAATTAGATGAATTTTTTGATGCTTTTAAGGAATATGAAACAGCTGCTAAATATCTTAATCTTGCTTGCTATCATATTGTAAATATCATTTCTTTATTTAGTTTTAAAACTTAAGTTAAAAAGAAAAGTTTATTTTTTGGAAGATTGCAGTTTGTAAAATAATTAAAGATAATATCGAAAATATTAGATCACGTATTTTTACTAGTTTGGAAGATCTTCTTGATTAAATTTATAAGAAATAAGAGTCAGAATATGTTCATAAAGTATAAGAAAAGGAATTGAAATAAGATAGAGAAAATCTTAAAAAAAAATTTTTTAATCATTTATAAATTCTATTAGGTTTTTCTATGAATGAAAATTTAATTTAAAATGACATAAATGTTTTTGATGACTTATGTTAGAGGTTATATAAATTTATTAAGAATGAATATGAATAAAAATTTAAAAGATGGTCTTAAGTTTATTCAGTTAAAGATTATCTATGCTTAGTTGAAAGAGAATTCGAAATTAATGAATAGTTGTTTAGTTGTTTAAATAATATTTAATAATTTAAATCTCACTATTTAAATATATTCAGAATTATTTATGAAAATTTGGTATTTAAGTATAAGGATGTAGTTTTAAAGGATGAAAGAGGTTTTATAGGTTTACTAAATGAATTCTTTTCACAATAAGATTAATTTGATGAAGCTGTTAGTGGAGAAATAATTTAAATTTTAAGAGTTTATTCAAGATTTTAAGATTAAGAGCAATATTTTAAAGATTTTAAATAAAAGTTTTAATAATTTGTAAGGGAGAATATAGAATAATAATATAAAAAATAAACTTTGCATCATGAATTAGAAAAATAGAAATCAAAATATAAATCTTTAGTAAAAATTTTGGGTGATATTTATGATAAATTTGATAATTTAATTAGAATGTGTTTTAAAGAAAGTGATAATTTTAATGGTAGATATGATCTTGAAATGATTGTTTAATCTGAATTGAAATTATTTTTTATTAATTTAGAACAAGTAAGGAAATTTAAATTTATAAAAAGAGTATTCAGTTAACTTTAAAATTATGTGATTATGTACATGATCTTATGATGTAGTTAGCAAAATCAGATGATTAATCATAAATAAAAGATAACTAAGAAGAGATTTTAAAAGTATAAAAATGTTTATTACCTTCTGTAAAAGATTTTGATTATTATTTAATTGTAAGATTTTTAATATTTTATCTTAGATTAATAATTATAGGTTAGCCTCAAGATTGTTAAATTATCTTATATTTTTTGAAAAATAACATGCATTATATCATTTGGATAATGAATAGTATATACTTGATTAAATGAAATAATTTTGTGGTGAAAAAAAATTAAAAAAAATTAACAAAATGATTTCTGAAACTAAAGATCTTTTGAATAAAAAAATAGCAATAGAATTTAGAGAGGATTTAACAGAGATTATATTAATTAATAAAAAAAAATGGCCAAAACTATATAATAATGATCAAAATGTGTTTTAAGAATTGTAAATTTTTAAACAATAATTTATAACCAAACGTTAAAATTATAATGCTAGAGAAAATTCTATTAAAATTGAATTTAGTGATACATTATCTTTTGTTGAAATTTATTGGTCTGAAGTAGAGAAGACTCTAATTATTAATTGTGTTTAGGCAGCAATTTTATTTTTATTTAATGAAGATGATGATATGAGAACTTTAAATGAGATTGCTGAATCTTTAAAATTAGAAACACATTAAGTACTCTTTTAATTAGAAAGATTAGTAATTTTTATTATAAATTTAGGTTGCTTAAAAAATATTATGGAATGATAAAGATAGTTATTTTTTGAATAATTCTTAAATTGAATAAGAAGTTAAAGAACCTTTGATTGTTATAGATCATAATATTTATGAGAATTAGTAATATATGAATGAATGTAAATATTAATTTCAAATTTAAGTCAAACCGCTTTATGATAAAACCCAAGACCTTAAATTTCAATTGGATGCTTTTATTATGAAAAATTTAAAAATTGAAAAATAAATGAATCATACAATTTTGTTTGATTTAGTTTCAAAAAAATTTTATCCAATCCCTATGAGCAATGATAAACTCAAAGAATCTTTAGAGTGGTTAATAAAAAATGAGTATATTTGCAGAGATTAAAAAGAGAAATCAGTTTATCTTTATAAATGAGTTTATGTTTATTAAATTTTTATAAATCCATAAATTCTCAATTTATTCATTCAATTTGTAATTATTTATATCTCAAATGAAAAAGTATTATTTTCACAATTAATAATTTAGTAAAATAATATTAAAATGCTATTTAATATTAAAATAGATTATATTAATATATCATTAAGAATTTATTAATATTATTTTGATATTTTTTTAATAAAATTCAACTTCAATTAGTTTACTAAATACAAATAACAATAAAATAACAATCTCTAACGATTATTTTAATTATTTAATAGATAGATATGATTATTGTAATTAAAATGAATTAAATCATTTCTTTATATGAGTATTTAATGATAATTAACTTTGTTAAAAAGAGTTGATCTTTCAATTGAATAGAAATACAAATTTAATGTTATTCTTTTAGAAATTAAATATTTTATGATTAACTCAATTATAAGTCAATATTAAAATAATAAAGTAAAAAAAAGGATCGATGTTATCTACATAATCGTCTCTTTTTGATTAAATTGAAGAAGTATGCACAAATATTTTGGAGAAAAATTCTTTAGTTTCTTTGAAAACAAAACAAGAAATAAATAGGTAAGTTTTATAAAATTAAGATAGCAAAATTGATGTGCATGTTTAAAATTAAACTAATGATTAATAATAGAATGAATGTAAAAAGTTTATAAATGTAGCAATAAAATGCATAAAAAATCACATAACAAAAAATGTAAACTAAAATTAATATATATTAGATTCTCCCAAAATTTAAAGATTAATATAAGGATGCTATATAATATATTGAAACATTTATATAGATGCATGATACTTTTGTCAAGTCTATGAAATCATACAAAACTGTTTTATACTAGGCTGTAATTAAAATAGAAAATATTTAATAGGCACAAATATTTTAACAAGAAAGTATTCAAGAGTTTTATACAAGTTTATTTGATAATATATTTGTTGAAGAATTATAAAATGTGTTCAAAAATGTTTTATTTAAAAGTGTGGTTGATATGATCAGAACTGTAATTTTTTAAATGAAATATTATTTTAGGCATGTGAAGATGAATAGAAATAATAAAAAATAAGTGAGCTTTTATATAATTTCGGAAATGTTATGTCTTAATTATAAAAATCAACCGAAGAAGCTCTTGAATTTAAAATAGAGTAAGAATTTAAATAAAGAATTTTTGATTATTTTGAAGAGAAATATCAATAAAATTATAAATAATGGCATTCAAGTTTAAAGACATAATTTTATTTGAGAAAAGTTCATTAATAAAAAGAAATAAATGAGAAGGTTTTAAAGTTTGGAGATAAAACAATTTTAGAATAAGTAAATAGAATACTAAATTCTCATCTTTTAACATATTATAAGCCATATTTATTATCAGAGACTAATTTTGATAATTTTGAACATCTTTTAATAGAATTTCATAAAGAACCTATTGGTTAATAATAAAACTTAAAATTGATTGGAGATTTATATGGAAGCTTAGATGATCATTATGATTAGATTACAACAAATTTTAAAAATATTATAACTTAAGAAGGATAGAAAATTGTGTAAATAAAGAATCATCAAATAGTAGAAACAAATTCTGATTAAAATTTTTCTGATCCAAGTTTTATAGGTTAATTTTATAGTCTTTATCAAAAATATTTTATATTGATAGAAAGTTGTTTCAATTAAAAATCAGATTTCATTATGGCATTAAATAATTCATTTGAGACATTTATTAATTTACCTATAGGAGTATATTATAAATAATATAAATAGAATTATGAATTTGCTGATTATTTAGTGAGTTACATAGGAGAATAGATAGAGTTACTTAGAAATTCACCAAAGAATTCTACCAAATCACCAGAACAGATGGTAAAATTATTTGTATTTATTAATCAAAAAGGTAGATTTTTAAAAGTATTAAAAAATATTTATATTATTTAGTTATATAAAATATCTTTAGCTTAAAGATTAATAAAATATTAAAGATAGATTGAGACTAAAAAAAATAAATTAGCTTGTTAGATAGAAATGAGTATTGTAGAAGAGATGGAAAAAAAATGTGGTACTTAAGACTTAGAATCACTTAAAATAATGATTAAAGATTTTTTAAAGACAGAAAATGAAATATCAAAGATTTAAGAAGAAAAAGGATTAAGTAAATTATAAATATAACCTCCTATAATAATTAACAAATAACATTGGCCAGAAATAGATGAATTATAATTAGATCTATAATGTGAAATAATAGCATAGTAAAAAGAAATAATAGCAAAGAGATAATAATAAAAAACTTTGATATGGTTAGATCTAATTTCATATGTTGAAATATAATGTACAGAAAGAGCATTAATATTTAATTTAAGTGTTCCATAAGCAGTTATTTTATTACTTTATTAATACAGAAATGATATATTAGATGTAAATCGAATTGCATCATTAACTGGATTAAAGGAATAATATGTGATATAAAATTGTAAAATGATGAAAGATGCAAAAATATTGGATGAATAAATTGTAAATGATTAAGTTTGTTATCAGTTTAATGAAAATTTAACTAAATAAAAAAAAGGAAAATCTAAGAAAATAATAACTGATACATATTTTCCTTAGAATTAAGTTGAATAAGGTAATATTAATATTCATAAATTTAGTTATATCTGTTTATGATAAGGATTTAGCAATAGAAGCAGCTATTGTTAAAATTATGAAGAAATAAAAGGAGATGTAATTTAGTGACTTAGTTATATAAGTCTAAGGACATATGAAGAAAAATTAAAATGTAGAAATACCATTTGCTTAAATTAAATAAATGATAGAAAGATTATAAAGAAATGAATACTTAGAAAGAGATGCAATTAATATGTAATTGATAAAATATAAATGACTTAATTAATCAAACCATATATTTAATAGTTACAAACAAATTTATCATTTTTTTTTTCGTAATTATCTATCTCTTCTTTATTAATTTTCTAGATATTCCTATAGAAAATAGTTGTATTAATAATATACTTTATTTTTCATTGTTAATTCATAATCATTTAATTACCAAGCAACTAAATCTTATCTGTTTTATGAATCAGAAGCAAGTGGATATTACTCTGCATAAATTTCATAAGGAAAATCTGTCATAATATTAAAAATATTTCTTTCATCAACATTTAAGTTTTTACCTTCAGATTGCCAACTTGGTTAATATAAGATCATAAATACTATCCATCTAATTTGCTTAAAACAGGATATTTCTAAGTAGATCCATTCAATCCTAAATATTTCTTATATCCTAATTTTTTCCATCGATTAACCTCTTTATCATCAATTTTATAAATAGCACCTTAAAAATAATCTAAAGCCATTTTTTTTCCAAATAATCCTGATGGTGGATTAAAGTACAATTCTCCTAAATATTCATTGATATAATCAATACAATAAATAGGACCTTCTAAATAAAAAATTTTATCTCCAATTGTTATTCCACTTAAGTATCCTTTGCAATTATTAAATTCAACCTTAGTTCCATTGATAAATTGCAAATTAACTTTACCAAAATTACAACCAGTAATTGAATTCAAACCTAAAGAAGCTTGAGTTTCAAAATGTCCATTGAAATTATATCCGTGTCCATACATCATAAATGATGCAATAGGTGGACGATGACTAATCTATTCTAAATATATTGGACATCCTTTTATCCAACATTAAAAGGTTTCACCAAGAATTGGATTGAAAGGTTTCTCTAAAGATAGATATAATATATTCATTGATATAATGAAGGCTAATAGTGCTTTCATTTAATCAAGTGGATAACTATTAACTACAGGTTCTAAAAAATGAGGTGCATAAGAAAAGGAACTTGCTAATCTTTATAGGTTTGTTCTTCTCTCAAAAATATAAACAGGAAGAGATATCTGTAGAATGCTTGTTCTTAATAGACTTTAACCAATTTTTTATAAGATGTAATAAAAAACCTTTTTTTATTGAACAAGCTTCTCTTAATTTATAAATTTCAAAAAACCTTATTAAGAATCATATACCCAATCTGATTAATAAAAAAAATGTTATCCATTCGCGTTCTTTTAATATCTATCTAATTAAATATTGATTTATGGCTTTGTTTCATAGTAATGAATTTATGAAAGATGATGCACTTATTATTCAATATCCAAAAGTCTGTCACATAGAAATTATTGTAACTATTCCTATGTGTATTTAGAAATTTGATAAAATTATTTTATATTGTCATTTTTGAAAAATATTCCTGTTTTTTATTAAACAGAACGAATATCTTCTTTAAGAAAAGAATCTCTTTGTTGATTATCTCCATCTAAAGAAAAGTTATCATTAATTTGATTTGCTTAAGAAGATAAATTTGGAGATACAGTTTAATCAGAATAATCAGATCGAATCACTTAAGATTTAAATTTTCTTTTTGTTTATTTATTTTTAAGTTATTCATAACGATTTATTAAATTCATAGCCTCACTTACATATATTGGCAAATTAACATTACTTATTTGTTATCTACTATTTTCTTCTTTTAAAAATTGCTTATAATTTTGAAATTGTTAAACATAATTTAGGATAAGTTGTTAATCTTAATTTTAAGTTATGTAACCTTTGTTATAGACAAGTGTGTCTACAATCATTATTTTAGTTTAGAGATCTTAGAGAAAAATTCCTATAATATTCCATTCAATAAGACCATCAGTATCTTTACTTTCATAGGATTTCTCAATAATAAAAAATGAATTTTTGAATGGATATATGTATCTTAAGAATTTGAAAGATCTTGGTTAATAAAGAAAACTTAAAGGTTCTCTAATTTCTTCAATCTAAGCCAGAAAAGGAGTTGCTTGCAGTATGATTTATTAGGATTTAATTTATTTATTCCATTTTTTAAGTGTTGATGTATCATAAAGAGAATTAATGAGTATTTCCAGAGTAGTTTAAGGTAAAGTGATAAAAACTCTAAAATTATTCTTATTTATATTTGATTGCATGATTCTTGCACAGTGCTAAAATGAAATAAGAGAAAAGTCATGATCATCCATCAAATACTCTAAATTTATTTTATCTTTTAGATTATTAAATAAAACAGGTAAATTTTCTTGAAGAATTTATTCTTCGACTAAAATAACTTCTTGTTCTATTTATTATTATTAAATCTTAGATGAGATTATGGTTTTTTTAATATTAGTATCATCAGCTTATTTTTTATTAAAGTTTACTGTGCTAAATCTATCACAAGATTCTAAATTTTTGTTATCATTTTCTTATTCATTCATCATAATAGTTGTTTTAGGTTATTCCACATTTTCTTATTTGCAACAAATTTTGAAATATTCAATCCATTTATTAATTTCTTCTTTATCTTCACTGCCAATAATGATGTCTTTGATCTATAAATCTGGATTTCTAGATAACAATTCATATTAATATCTGCCTCTTAAATAACCTCTATAATTAATATAGAATTCTGTTAAATCTATTACATAAGGCTAATCTTTTGGATTTTATCGATGAATAATCAATTCTTTGATATCTAAATCGATTTCAATTTTTTTTCTTGACCATAAAATGGTACTTTTACCCAAAATATCAATTTCACCGATTATTTTTTTTTATTAAAAGAATAGATTGAATAGACTTATAAGTAATTCTATTTTTGATTCTTTATTTAACTTAGATAATGAATTTATTTCATCATAAGAAAGTTAATCATAATCTAATGAATTAATTTCTAAAGTTGGATCAAGAAGTGAATTGTAAAGAAGCTCTATTTTTTAGAGAAATTTAATTGGAATAATATTGATAATTGATTGTGACTCTAATTAAAATGTAAAATAATACTTTGCAGAATTCTAGTAATTCGATTGAACAAAGGCTGTAATTTCTCCATTTCATCAGAATTCATTAATAACAATAAATATTATTTTGTAAAATAAATCATATTATTACATACTATTTAATCTTTTAAACTGGTTTGGATTTGTTTAAAGGTCATTCATTATTATATTTTTTGATGAATTGTGTTTAAATAAACAACAGCTAAGAATGGCATGATCATGTTACTAGTAATTAGAAGCCAGTTGTTGTTAGTTTTTTCGCTGAATGGTATAGATATTGAAATTAATGGATTATAGGTGTGCACCATGTCATAAGTTGAATCCTCAATTAATTTAGGAAGCTTAGAAGAACTGTGAAAAATGGTAACTTTGCTTTGTTAATGTTGATAATGAGGATCTCTATGATGTTGTATAATAAATAGCGGTATTGTTTAATATTGATTTAATTTAGAAAGCCTAAATACCATCTGTTCATTTACTAAATAGAGGAACATCTATTGACTCTATGACTGGATATAGCGAAAGAAAAACCAAGTCTTTTATAGATAGGGTTTGCAGTTGATTTTAATTACTTGTTTAAACATGTCTTTTATAAAATAATAAATCAAATAGAAGGACGTATTTGATCATTTAATTGTGAGAATAATACCTTTCTTTAAATTAAGTGAAACTGATTTTAAAGTTCTAAATTTTGAGCTTATCTTAATTATCTTCTTACTTCTCCTCTTATTTCATCCAAAACTCTTTCTCCATCAGATTCCCATAAAGCTTCTTTTATTATGAAACCATCTTCTAATGATGGATGAAATAGATTTTTGAACATATAATACTCACGATTGTTATTACTCATTTGAATTACTTTGTCATACAATTATTCATATTTCTCTCTATCTTCAGGTTCTTCCATTTTATAAGGAGCATATATAGGAGGACAAATAGGATGTTTATAAGGAATTCTTGCAAACTATTTCATTATCATATTTTTCTCACATATTCAGGACAATCTTTCTAAAAATCAAAAGGATGATAACTCAAAATTGTTTTGCCTATTATTATTAATACCACTCCTTTTAACAATCCTCTTGTTATGGAAATTCCAATGTCTGGTTTCAATATTTATAAATATTACATAAATTTAATTATCATTTTATATATGACTAATTCATATTATTTAAAAGGCTACGAAGTTTAATCATAAAGACCATTTCTAATATTATTTAATTTATTTATTTATATATTAATTACCTCTTAACTTAATCATTTTTAAACTAATTTTTTAATTTCTAAAATTCTTATTTTTATTATTTCAGTTGGTTTAATTAATAAATCCCTTAAATTTAATTTTATAAAGCCCGATTTTAAAATGAAGGTTTATATAAAGACTTATTATCAATTAAATTGCAACTTTATAAACATTATTATTAAAGAATATCGAATGATTTATTTTACTCTATTCCAATCCTCTATTTTGTTAACACTTTAATTTGAAATTATTGAAATAATCTATTTTTGTTTTCTTGGCCTGCCCTTATCAAAAATAATTACATCATTATAAAATGAATTATTTTAATCAGTTAAACAACCAAAAAAAATTAATAATCTAGTTTTTCTTATAATTAAAAAAATAAACCCATTTCACCTTTTAATTATCTGCTTAATATAGCACCATCTTAAAAAAAGGTTGAAATAAATTATTAAAATACTATGGTTTAAAATAATTATGAATCAAATATTGTTTGATAATTAAAATCATTATGAATCCTTTCACTCTTATGTTTCATGACCCAAAGCTAGAACTTAAATATCAAGAAAATTATTCGAATGAACTCTATGAGGCCTTTAAATATACCATGGTTTTGCTCTAATTATCTAATATAATTTTAAGCATATTTTGGATTCAAAAGAACTAATTCACTCTTGGGTGCTTGATGATAATTTTATGTTGTGGATAAACAATTACATTCTACTATATGCTTTTAAAAAAAAGATTTATCACTTTAGTTGGTTATTTAATTTCTATCCTAAGCTTACTATCATCATTTTATTAATTTTTGCCATATTTTTACAGAGAATATTCAGGAACTGAATTTATTTGGATTTTTGATATCTCTTAGTTTATGGCACTAAATTTTGCTTTATGTCCCAATTTTATACTAAATCAGTTTCTTTAGATTTTATTTGTTTCTTCTAGATTATTCATGAGAAACTTTGCTTAGTTAAATCCATTTTCATTTATTCTCTTATTGTATTTGATTATATTTTGGTAAAAAGAGTATTTTAGATAAAAGCACAATAGAACTAAATTTTTTTAAAAAGAACAGTAAAAATAGGCATTATTTTTATGGGATAATTTAATTGAAGAAAAAATTGTGTTATTATCATATGATGAAATTTGGAATAAGATTGATTTAGTGTTTGCAAATTCTTCGATCAAAAAAGTAATTGAAATAGAATCTAAAGATTTCTTAAAAGATTTTCGAGTTTCTGATTAAAAATAGGATTTTTATCAATACTTATTGAAACAAATTCATAATAAAACCTTTCAATTTAAGATTAAAGTAGTACATAATTAGAAAAAATATATTATTGATTGCATAATGAATAAATTTATGGAGTTAAATATATCATTAAAATTTTCTGAGCTTTAACCACAAAAAAATAATAAAAACAATTATTATTCATATCTCTAACTTTTAAAAAAATAAAATTAATTGATAGATAGCTTTATTATAATGAAATCTAAAAGCAAATCATTTAATAATCATATTACTTAAAAAATGTAACAATAGATTAAATTGAATAATTAAATCTTTTTAAATTGCGTGCTTATTTGAGCTTTATTATAAAAAGGAATAACATAAAAATCTTATTTGATATGTAGAAGTTTTATACAATATTGCCACTTTTATTTAGTTTGTTAAGTTGTCTATCAAAACTATATAAGATTTCTGAAATATAATTAATTGATCAAAACTAAAATTAAACTAGTCTGATCATACATGGATAGACAAGGAATATAATGGAATAGAGATTCACAATTTGCAAGAAAATAATAAATCGTATTGTAGATTAGATAGGATTTTAAGAATGCTTTTTTTAAAGAACGTAATTTTAATGCACTTTAATAAATATGTAATTAAAAACAGATTCATTTGTAAATAAATAAATAATATAATAGCTCACTTGAATAAGAATAGCCATCTAATATGATTCTTGATAAATATGTATTATTTTAACTTTTTTATATTAATATTTAATAATCCTTTTCCCAATCTTAAACTTTCAATGGCTTCTATTTTCAGATATTAATTTCATATAATAAATTGCTTTATGAAAAAAATGTTATAGAAAAGAGATGCTTTCAGAAAAGTGTCAATATTATTTTATTGTTTGAATATTTCTTTATTTCATTAACCTTATCGTAAGGTAAAATTAAAAATATTGCTTATAGGGCTTTTTTATTGATTGATCACTTATAAATATGAACTTGAATGCGTTGCATTTTCAATTCATTATTATTTTACATCTTTATATTCTCTACTGTATTTGTAAATTGCAAAAAAAGTGTATATTGAAACTCATGATTATCAACTAATTAATTATTTTCAATTTTTTATATCCGATTTAAGGTTCTCCTATTCTAATAAATCAACATTCAAAATCTGATTTTGTATTTGTTAAATGGCTACATTACTTATGTTAAATGAACATTTTTGGGTGACAAGTTGGTAAATAAAAATTTAAGAGCTTATTTAAATATTAATCATAAAAAAATTATTATTATTGATTATATATATTTAATTAATCATCCACATGGAATTTAAGAATTCAAATTGAAAATTTGATCTTAACTTACTTAAACTTATTTAACAAATCTGATTCTTAAAACATATCCTAAAACATTTTTGATTTGTTTTATCTCGTTGTTTTTTTCAGATTCTAAAAATATGGATATATAAAAAACGAATTCTCAAATTCTTCAGAAATTCAAATTGGATTCAATAAATAAGGATTCTTTGAATTTATATGATCAAATAGGATACTCTTCTTGAGAATAATATTTTTGATTATTTAATATGAAATATCTATATATATATTCATCATAAGAAATTCACAGATCTGTCAAAGACTTAGTTAAGTTCTTGACTTTTTTAATAATTATTATTCCAAGATTGTATCAGATTTTCTAGGTGTAGGTTACAATTATCAAAAATAGAGTTGCTATGATTTGAAATAATTATTTAAGAAATATGATCAGCAGTATAGGCCAAGAGTACATCTTTTAATGTTACACCTTTTACCTCAGGGGTTGTGAGATCAATTGTAACAATTCCATTCTTGTTGTACCATTTTGGATAGTCTACAATTTTTATAATAATTACGTTTCATCTACTCAGCTATTTGAGAAACTTATCCCATAAAACAGAAAGAGTCTTAAAAATTCTAGAACTCGAATCTTCTATTCAAACTGCTCATATTCTAACTCTAAATAGAGAAATTACATAAGCCCAATTCGAACTTAACTCTTGAATCCTAAAAAGTAGGTTAACTTCATCGGCATTCAATCTTATGAACTTCTTAGTGGGAACATCCGAAAATTCCTTCAATTAATACTTCAAACTAAGCAGGTTAGCTGTAGTCCTTGTATTATTAGAAGCGAAATTTCTATACATAGATATTAATTATACTAAAATGATTTTTTAATTGGATTTCAATGATTTGAAAGTATGTATTATATCTCATAATTTGTCATCATATTATTAGTTAATATTTGTAAAATAAATTATTTATAACTTTTTTCAATCTTCCAATTTTATTCTTAAATCTTTAAATTTTTTATGAAACTTTCTTTACTTAATTTGAAATTCAAAATAAAATAATAATCATTTCAAAAAACATAAATATCATTAATATTATTTTCAACCATTTATATCACATAGTTAAATAAAATTATTTAGCTTAAATTATTTTGAATTCTTAGAATTATAAAATACTTTCAAAATTAATATTAAAATTAACTTTATTAAATTATCAATATTTCTTATATTATATAACTAATCATCCTAATTAGAGATTAAGCCTACAAGTTTCTATAACTGCATTTTAAACCTTTCCTTAAACAATATGACATAATTTTTCATATTCAGCCCTTAATTTAATATTATTTCCTTCTTAATTACTCATTAATCTTTCTAATTCTAAAATTCTCTAATGTTATAACTATAAATTAGTTTTATGTAAAGCATATTATCTTTCTTATAACAATCTCCTTTATTAAATATCGTCTATTCCTCTATCTAAAAATAGAATACATCTATTACCCTTTTAAATATTTAAAATGAAAAATGTTTCATCTATTTTTTTAATTAGATTGTCAATATGATGATCCAGAACAATATTATTATTAATCATTTTTTCTTATTTAATACTTCTTTTGCTTATTTCTAAATGTGTTTAATGAACCCTTTCTCTTTCTTATTGTATTTATTCCTCAATTAATTGTCTATCTCTAGTTAGATTGTTTTCTAATCTTTACATATTATCTTCGATACCTTAACTTTCATTTTCAGCTCTCTTAATTATTAATTTAGAAATACCTTTAAAGTTTGTTAAGATTCCATTTCCTTCTTTTTCAATAATTCAATTTAATGATTATATCTAGCTTTTTCCTCAATAAGTAGTCTACCTTCTACAGCTTTAACATTTTCATCATGATCTAATCTCATTTTTAAGAAGAATTCTTTCATTCTTAAAAGTTACTAATTATATTAATCATTAGCTTTCATCAAAGAATTGAATTTACTCTGAATTCCATCTAATCTAGGTTACCAATTTGCATTAATTTAATCAATTTATTGCTAAATAAATAAATTTAAATATAAACCTTATTATCATGTCTAATTTAAGATAATTCATGCATATATTCATTTTCTAATGCTAAAACATGTTTATTTTTAGCAACATATTCATTCATCACCTCTTATTATCTATAATCACTAGCTTTACCAAGTTAATCGAATTGTCTTTTAACTTAAGTGTATTCAGCTTCAATAATAGATTTTCTAGTAACTTCTTCTTCAAAATGTCTTTTTGCCATACTAACAGCTTATTCTTTACTTAATATTTCTTATCTTAAGGCATTCATTCTATTTGTAAGTTCTTCATTCATTAATCTATTTTATCTTAATTCTTAATCAATTTATTCCTTTAATTAAGCAACTCTAATAGCATCATTTTTTTTATTGGCTCTATCAGGTACATTTGTAGTTGTTGCTGCTGTTTTTGGTATTGTTTTAATAGGTTGATAAACATTTCTTTATGATTCTTTAATACCAGTTGAATTCTTAGCCATCAAATCAGATGATCTATTTTATTCAATTCTTTCTCTTATTTATGTTGCTAATCCTTCTGGTATCTTATTACAAGATATATCTAAGAATTTCAAATTCCTATTGCCATTTAATCCTTCTAATAAATATTGAGCTCCCTTTTCTCCTATCTCATTCCATTTTAAATTTAATGATTATAATGTTGTATTTTATTTTAACATCTAACAAATTCTAGCACAATGATCTGCTTATATTCTATTATTTTTTAGATCAACTAACTGCAATTGATATGATGGATTCATTAATAAATCACATAAGGCACTTACACCTCCACCTATAGCATTCCATTCAGCTATCAAAGTTCTTGCTTCAGGACTAATTGATCGACATATTCTTTCAAATCCTTTTCCATTTATATTACATCCTCTTAATTCGATGTTTATAAATTGTGTATTCTGAGCCAAAAATTAGGCAACTGTTACACAACCTTCTTCATTTAGTATTTAATCTGATAGTATCAGATTTGGAGCTTTCTATGATTCTAAAGCTTTCTATAGCTTCATTGATTCAAATTTAAAATTAGTAGTTAATTAATCAATTATTGAGTATTAAATTCTAAACAATATAATTGTTTATATTAAAATTCAATAACATTTATTATTATATAATTTTTTACAAAATCATAGAATTCCTAATAAGAATTTTTATAAAAATATGTAAAGTATCTTATAAGATAAACACATTTTAAATAATCTGTAAATTAAATAATGTGAAAATAATATCAAAGTTGAGCAGTATTCTTTTAAAAGTTTTATAGAATCTCCTCGGTTTTCGAAAAGTTTTAATTCCAAGCATTTAGTATTTGAGAATCGACAATTTTAGGACTATCACAAACAGAAATGATTTAAGTATTTGTAATATCTCTGGCCAATTAATCCATTGTATAGGCTAAGAGAATGTCTTTGACAGAAACACCAGCACAATCTTTTGTAGAGATCTCTACATTGACAACATTTTCTTTTTGTGTCCATTTAGGATAGTCTATTAAATATATAGAATAAGTAAATTACGATGCATTTCATCAGCAACTGCAGAAATTGATCCCATGAATGCAAATGTCTCTTTAAATGTATTAAACTTGAATTCTCTCTATATTCTTGTTGAATCTTTAGATTGATGCCATTATAAGGAATGAATTTCAAGGGCTTATGTAATTTCCTCTGAATTCAATTTAGTTATTGAAATGGATGAAACATCTTTGAAATCCCTTACAAATATTTTAAGGGAATTTATAATTGCTGATGTTTTGAATCCTTATTCTGAGATGTATCTATACATGTTTATATTGTATTTAAATTATTACAATTATTGGAGAATCTTAGAGAAGTTATCAAAGGTTTATTAATGCGAACCATATAATTTCAAACGCAATATAATGATCAGTTATTTATTTTTTAATAATAATTAAGAATTATATCAATTACCCATAGGGTTTGGAATCTTATATGGATCAAAATTCTATGGCAATGTCTAATTAGGGTAATTGAGATTTTAAGGTAATGTTTAACCAGGATAGAATGCAGGGGGTTATTATTATGAAGGGGGAACATAATTTGGTTAAGGAGGAGGTTATTAACTAGGAGGAACATTAGGATAAGGTTGTTAATTCATTCCAGGTTAATTAGGATAAGCTTGATTTTATGGTAATGTTTATGTTTATTGATTAGGTGGCATTTAATTATTTGGATATTATGGTTAATTATTAGGATAATTTTAAGGTTAAGCACCTAAATAATTATTAGTTTATTGATTATTAGGATAAGGCTATTAATTTTAATGAGGATTATTATTTTAAATAGTTTAGGCATAATTTGGTATGCCTTATTAATTAGGTGGCGGTTAGTTAGGAGGAGGTTGATTTGCTGGATAATTAGGTGGTGGTTGATTTTAAGGATAATTAGGGGGTGGTTGATTTTGGGGATAATTAGGTGGTGGCTGATTTTATGGATAATTAGGAGGGGGTTGGTTCGGAGGATAATTTGGTGGTGGTTGATTTGGAGGATAATTAGGAGGGGGTTGATTTGGTGGATAATTAGGAGGTGGTTGATTCGGTGGATAATTAGGAGGTGGTTGATTCGGTGGATATCCTTAAGGTGGATTGGCTTAATAGCCAGGCTATTGATTAGCAGGATATGTAGGAGCGTAACCTTATTGAGGGTTTTATGGATATCCTAAAGTTCCTTAGAATCCTGGTTATACATAAGGCGGAGACTGTGGATATTATGGTTATTATGGTGGATAATTTGGAGGTTATTGATATGGAATTGATTGATTGTATGGTTATTAATAGTAAGGAGCTCCTGGAGGTTTCATTGGTATCACGTTATTTTATTGATAATATTATGGATTTGTAGGAATTTAAGGTTGTTATTAATATTTTGAATCTGAAAACCATTCAAATGCTATGTAGATTTATCCGGCTGGCTTTCCCTATTATTTTAATTATTATTTAATTACTTTGTAGCTTAAATTTATCCATTCTGCTGGTATAGGAGTATCAACTAAATATTTTTGTAGAGCTATTGAAGTTTCTCCAACTAAATCATCTTTACTTACTTCATCTGAGTCCCAGACCTAAATTTCAGCTAAATATTCATTTGTACGCCTAAAACTTAATGATTGATTCCAAGTTGGATGCTTACCTATTTTTAAAAATACTTGTACCTGCATCTGTGTGTTCTCTTGTTCTTTAGGTTTGATTGCCAATAATGACTTTGCAGTATGGATCCATTTTACCTAGGAACTCAGTATCATGAGTTAATTTAGCTTTGAGAGGTTTAATCATTAAGGTGCCTGAACCAACTAATGACATTTGATTTTTAATATTTTTATATTTGTGAATGTCTAAGAAATCAAATTTGGGTAAAGCTCTTTAAAGATAGCAATAAAGGAAGATGAATGAAGGAGCAGCAAAAGTGCAGAATTAAGGATAATTCTTTCATGATGGAAAGGTAGTAAAGGAGGAATATCAAATATAATAAGAGAACCTATAATCAATAATTGATTAGAATCCATTAAATGAATATTTATAGATGGCAGAGATGGCAAATATAAAATATTAAGCAGAGAAGAAATCAGATATAGTAGTAAATGAATAATAGAAATAAGTAATATAGTGAATAATTTTGTAGTTGGTGATAAATGTAAATGCAATAAGAAAGGGGTAGTTGGGAAATTCATAAGTATATGATTATTAAAAGAACTAATTAATGGTTGATTTATAAATACCAAGAAGACCTAGATGGGATGAGAAGACAACAGTAGAATAATTGAGATTGATGGAGAATGAGAATTTTTTAAAATGGAGAAAGGAGTTAGCAAAGTTTGAAGAGGAACATTATTAAATATAATTGACTCCTTATGAAAAGAATATAGAGGTTTGGAAGTAATTATGGAGAGTAGTTGAGAAGGCAGATATTTTAGTATAAGTAGTAGATGGTAGAGATATCTTATTTTATCATTGCAATGATTTAACAAAGTATGTTCATGAAGAACAGAATAGAGTTTATAGGAAGAATTAAACAAAGATAAATTTTTTACTGATAAATAAAAGTGATTTAATATCTGATAAGATTAGAGATGAATGGTCAAGTTTTTTGAATACTTAGAATTTGAATCATATGTTCTTTAGTGCAAAGTTAGAATAAGAGAAGATTGATAGGGAAGAGTAAGTGTAATAATAAGATGCTATAAATATTATAATATAATAAGAAGAACCATAAGTAGAAGAGAATGTAGAAGCATATATAAATACATCAAGAATAGCAGATAGGAAGATATTATTATCGGAGTTGAAATTATTAGTTTAAAAGATTAGAAAATAGAGATAAGAGAATGTAGAGACAACTAAATAATTGGAATAGGATGATCATGATATATAACATGATGAAAATACAGTTATTATTGGAATGGTTGGATATCCTAATGTAGGTAAGAGTTCAGTTATTAATGCGATTTGTAATAAGAAATTAGTTGGAGTTGCAGCAAGACCTGGTAAAACTAAGCATTTTTAAACTATACCATTAGAGAAATATTTATTAGTAAATAAATTGTTTATAATTTTTAGTTATGTGATTGTCCAGGTTTAATATTTCCAAATGCATCATCATCAAGAGCAGAAATGGTTTGTAATGGAGTTTTACCAATAGATAATATTAAAGATTATTTAAGTCCAATGGATTTATTAGCAGAGAGAATCCCTAAAGTTGTATTTGAAAAACTCTATGGTATCAATTTATAAGAATTTAAAAATATTGATGCTTCTACTGTACTCTCTACTTACAGTTAGAAAAGAGGATTCATGACAGGTAGGGGATTACCAGATGAAGCAAAAGCATCTAAATTAATGTTAAAAGATTTTGTTAATGGTAAATTACTTTATGTAAAATTACCTCCTAATTATTAAGGAGAGCCTTTATGGTAATCAAATCCTTTGTAAGATTTGGAAAATCTACTTATTTAATAATAAAATTAGCATTAATAAAATGATGATGCTAAAATTGATAATTAGTTTGAAAATTAATTAATACAAGAAAAGAAAATTACGAATGAAGAAATATTAGAAATTTTCACATAGGAAAATTTAGCTTAATTAATGGAAGGTAAAAAGGTTCATGGAATTAAGTTAACAAAGGAATAGAGAAGAGAAATTAAACATAATTTTCAAAGAGGTATTAATTATAAATGACATTTTTAGGTGATCCAATAGACATTAAAAAATATCTTAATTTATAACAAAACTAAAAGGAAACTCTATATAAAACATATATATAAGGTAAAAGAGGATAAATATGAGAAATATTGTTATTAGTAAAAACTCAATATTAATAAATTCAACAACATTTATCTTTATCTTTTTTGCCATCTTCAGCTTATTAACCAATTTTCTAACCTGGAGTTTATTGACCTCTTTAAGGCCTAGATAATAGTTGATAATATTATATTACCCTTAAGCTTTCAATCCTTATGAATCCTTTTTTGTAATAAGTTTTTTAGCAAGGGAAATGAAAGCTTTCGATACTTAATCTGCTGTTTTTGCACTCACTTCCATATGAGCCATATTTCTAATTGCTGCATAATCTAAGGCTTTTTAAGTTGTAACACTATCATAATAATAATAATATACATTTTATCCTCTATATCACTCTTATTTCCTAATAATAGTAATTCTACATTCTTCTCTGCATATTAATCTACTTCATTAATCCAAAATCTATCAATATCTTCAAATGAAGCAATTGATTATACATCATATACCATCACTATTCCATCAGCACCCTTTATTCTAATTTATCTGTACCTTATAATATGCACTTGTTATTGTTCTGAATCTTTCCTATCCTGCTGTATCCCAAATTTACAACTTTACCTTCTTCCCTTCAATTTCTAAAGTCTTGAATCTGAAGTCTACTCCTATTGTTGTTAAATATGAATCGTTAAATGTATCATCCGAAAATCGTAATAACAAAGAAGACTTACCAACTCCTGAATTCCCAACTATCACCAACTTAAATAAATAGTCATATTCCTTAATCATTAGATATAATAAATATTTAAATTAACATGACACAGAAGTCATCAGTATATATATAAATTCATTCCAAATTTATTTATCCAATTCTAACTCCAATCAATTATTAATTAATTTCTTATTATCTTTATTATCTATACATTATGAAAACAAGATTTTATTTTTTTTCGTTCAAGACTACCATTTTTTTAACTTTTTATTGATCATTAAAATCTATGAAGATTTATTTACTATACATTTAAAATATATCCATATCGTTTATTCTAAATAAACAACTAAAAAATAAAAAGTTAGACAAATACATTAATGTGGATCATTGAAAATTTGCTTTTACAAAATAAATAATATCTCTTCATTAAAAATATATAAATGTAATTTATTCTCTTAATTTTCTGTATTGTTGCATTAGTAGATTGTAAGTTGAAAGTACTTAGACCAAGTCAATTAGTTGATCGTTTGGGATCAAAAGTAAACATAGCACTTGCTAATTTTGGGTTTAAATTTAATTATTAGAGAATAGTGAAATTCCATTTGGTCATAGATATATGGGTAATGTAGATATGGCTTATCCGAATGATGGATGCGATTCTCTAATGCCTACCAATGGAAGTCAATTCATTATGATAGAAAGAGGAAACTGTACTTTCGTCACTAAGGTTAGGAATGCTTAGAATGCTGGATATACTTTAGCTATTATTGGCAATAATTATGATTATCCTTTAGAATCTGATTTTGTTATGGCTGATGATGGTCATGGATATGCTGTACTAAATTAACACATATAATTTTATAGATTAATATTCCATCAATATTCATTACATCATAAGATTTTAATGTAATAAAAGAGTTTGTTTTAAAGTATTAAGTTTCGAATTCTTTAGAAGAATAGGTTTTTGTTTTAGTCAAATTTGATGTAAAAAAAAGAGATGATGTAGATGTAATTTTACATCTGGAAGTAAGTAATAGAGATTCTTACAGAGTAATTGATGAATTCTAAGAATATTATGATCTTTTAAAAAATGAAAAGGTAAATTATACATTGCTTTATTCAATTTTCAATTCCAATAATACACAAAGTGATTATTCAATAGATGAATCTAATTGTATTTGTTAAAGACGATATTGTGCTATGGATCCAGATGGAGAAGGAATAGGAACAGGAAGAAATATAATTGAAGAAGCCATTAGATAAACATGCATATTTAAACATTTTCCATTACAATATTTTCAATATATGGTAAACTTTAAGAATCAAAATAGAATAAATTTAATTTTGAATGCTCTAAAGCTTAAGCTTATTCAACTTGTGGTAGTAAGATTATAACCAATTTGGGAATTTAAGATGATGAAATTGTTAAATGTAGAGATGAGTCTTTTAAGGATCCATTTAATCATAAAACAGCTACAAATCTAAATAATTCTTATAATGCAATTTTAGAACATTAGTTATTATTGTAAGAGAAGAGTGGAGCAATTGGATTGCCATCAGTAGTTGTTAATTCTGTAGTTTATAAAGGATAATTAACAGGTAAAGGAATTTTTGGTGAAATTTGCAATAGTAATCATATTGATAATTAAATAAATTAGGTTTTAATTTACCTCCATCTGTTTGTAGAGAGGAAGTAGAAAACTATTACAAATTCGAAATAAATGGTGATGGAGACAATTATCTTTTTTTAATTATATTTATTGTGTCAATTCTGATTGCAATATTTATGCTAGTTTTATACTTTTTGTTTAAGAAATTTGTGTAAAAAGATAGCGTTTAAGTAACATAAGTTTAAGTAAATGAAATGATTAGCCAATATATAAAATTTTATGAAGGAAAAGAACAAAAAAAATAAAATTCTTTTTGAGATATTAATGTAATTATCAGTGAATAATTATACCTTTATATTCATAAAATAAGTATTAATAAAATAAAATGGGACACTACGTTGAATTAAATTAAATAAATATAATAATGATCTTTTAACTTCGTTATAATACTAAATTATCTGAATCACTAAACAATAGCAAAGATTACTATTAAATGCAAAGTACAAAGTGGGTTGCTCCAAGACTAAATTAGCATAGATTAGAACATTTGTAATTCACTTAAAGGAATAAAGCTCGTTCTAAATACCCATAAGAAATGCTTCTATGTCTTGTATCTAAAGGACTTGTTCCAATAGAAAAGTAAAGAATGATGAATCTCTAATCTAATGATACTTCATGCAATTAAAAAGATAACACTTCTGAATTTAAATAGGAGCATCCTTACTATGGTTCAAAAATCAATCCATCAATATCAGAAATTGAACGATGTATCTTAATTAAATAACTTCATAGAAAATAAAAAAGTATTACCTCCCCTTTAGTTTATAGCTATCCGTCCTTAAATTAGAACTTAATCAAAAGATAAGGATCCTATTGAAACTTCTACTTCCAAAAGTTGTAAATTAGTAAGTCCATTGATAAATAGAAGTGATTAAAAATAAAATGTGAAACGTTCAGAATCCAAAGATAATAATGATAAAATTGGAAGAACTTCATCGACACCATTTATTCATAAAACTGTTTAAAATGAAAATCTTACTAGTAGATCAGGATCGCCAAATCAAAGATCAAAGTCAAAACCAACCAAAACTTAAAAAATAAATATTTAAACAAAGTTGACATAAATTAATGAAAGGAGATATACTCAAAATCATCAAGACACCTCTTAACCTTAAAGTAATTTAAAAATAACAGAATCTACTGAAAAGAAATTGTAAGTTAAAAGAAAGAAAAGATAATTATAAACTACTCAACAACAATAGACGTTATAACAACAAAATTCTTAAAAGGATAAACTCAATTAAAAACATACTTCTTATCGTTGTTTCATTAATAAAATCAATTTTTCAAATAATCAATGTATATAATCTCCAAATAAAATGGATGTACCTGCTTATTACTTTTATGTAGGTAAGGGTAATAATGGAAGTCTCTTAAAGAATCTTTTTAGATAAAGATGGTGGTGGTAGGAAGTTGAATCATTAGATTTAAATAAAGTTAATATGGTATGGACTCAATTGAAATAAAATATATGTATTGATAGTTTACCTACTTTTAATATGGCTACTAATGATACTAATTATAATAATGATTCTTTTATTTAAAGCATTGAAGACACTGTTATTGAATCAAGCGATTCTGAATTGGATATTCATATAAAACCACGATCTGTCCCTGTTTTAAGTATTAATTAATTAATACGTTAATCAATTCACTCTAAGAAAAAATTATAAATCAGTAATCACAATTAATTAAAAAGAATATTTAATTAAGTTGATTTACATTAAATTTTAACCTATATGGAAGAAAATAATCAGAGTGATTCACAAATTGTTTTTAGCGATTGTTCTGAAAAATTGCTCATGTCCATTAAAGGAGTAAAATATTTACATAATCCCTTAGTTATAAACAACAATTCATTAAGATAGCAGAAATTACAAAATGCACAATCATATGCAAGATAATTGGCACTTAGGCAATAAAAAAGCACTATTTTACAATATGAGAAATTATTTTTAAATAATAAAAGAAGATTACACTAAGTATATTCCTATTACTTTTCATATCTAAAAGGGAATGGCTGATACTGAATATTTCAAATTTGTTGATTACTATAATAAAAGACAGGAAGAGATTAAAGAACTAGAAAGAAAACAATAATTAGAATATCGAAGAGATAAGAGACCTAAACCTATTAGTTTATGGATAGTGAAACCAGGAGAATGTACAAATAGAGGAAATGGAATCACTGTTTGTTAAGATTTATTAGAAATTAATAAAATTTTAAATGAAGAATAACCTGATGGTCGATAAAGAACATATATTGTTTAATAGTACATAGATAATCCATTTCTTTACAATAAAAGAAAATTCGATATAAGATGCTATATGCTTTTAACTTCTTAAAATGGAATTTTTAAGGGATATTGGTATTAAGAAGGTTATATTCGAACCTCATCTAAAGAATTCACAACAAAGTGCTTAAATAAATATATTCACTTGACTAATGATGCTGTTTAATCTAAAGATGAGGACTATGGAAAGTTTGAGTTTGGTAACAAGATCTCCTTTCTCGAATACTAAAGATATTTGGATACATATCATCCTTAATAAAAATTCAACTTTTTTATTGATATTTATCCTAAGATGAAAAATGTTGCTTTAGATCTTATGAAGGCTTCTTATGGTAAAATTGATCCTTAGAGAAGATCAAATAGTTTTGAGGTATAAAAATTAATATACTTAGCTATTTGGATTGGATTTTATGATTGATGATAATTTTAAGCTTTGGCTTATTGAAGCAAATACAAATCCATGCTTAGAATTATCCTGTCCACTTTTAAGCAGAATTATACCTGCCATGGTTGAGAACTTATTTAGGTATCTAAATTATAATAAACAATTATTAGAATTGCAATTGATCCAATTTTCCCTCCTCCTTATTTTGAAGAGTGGCCATAAAACAAAAAATTATTTATTCCTGATAATGTCCTGGAAAATAATCGATTTGAACTTATTTTTGATGAATTAATAGAAAAAAAAACTATGATTAATTTATATAGAGACAATAAAGTTGAATAAGATTGTTTCAAAATAGAAGAAGAAGAAGAGGAAGAGGAGAAAGATTGACACTTTAATGTAATTATTATTTTATATCAAAATTTATATTCAAATTTAATAGTTTATTTAATATAATTATTTTAAATTTAAATACTCCTCATAACGTAATTATTTTTATTATAATTATATGTTTTAAAATTAATATGAACCAGTAGATTTCAACTAAAATTCATATATAATACTCTTAAATACATACTCTAAATGATTATTAGTTGATAGAACATTTAATTGAACAAACTAATTAAAAAAAGGATTTTTTTTATTTTTTATCCAATAATTCTGAGAGAAAATAAGCAATAAGGAAGAATTAAACATTCTTATATATTAGTTAATATGAAATAAATATAAATAAATTCCATTTATCTATAAATTTATAGAGAGAATTTCAATTAAATAATCAGCTGATAATAGATAAATGGAAAATCAAATTCATGGGATTATGTTATCAGAAGACAACCTAATTTAATTAGGTAAATATCGTAATTGAAGCTATAACTAAGCTATAACTAAGCCTTTAAAAATGTTAAAATAGTAATTATACAATAAATTCTAATATTAATTATAAAGTTGTTAAATAAGTAAATGCAGTTAAATAATTAAATGGATGTGATATTCTAGCAAGAAAAGGAATAAATTTTATAAGATTTCGAGGCTAAACTTCGTCGATAGTAATTATAAGTTCAAAGCAAATAATATTAAGATGGAAGTGAGTATTTAGGTGAACTCAATAATGAGCTCAGATGTGGTTTAGGAGTATACTATTATTTTACAGGAGATGTATATGCAGGTTAATGGGTTAATGATTTATTTGATGGAGATGGGACATATATATTTGCATCTGGAGAAAGATACTAAGGTTAATTGAAAGAAGGTAAAAAACATGGTTTTGGTACCTATTACTATTTGAATGGAAATAGTTATACTGGTAATTGGGCCAATGATAAGAAATAAGGAAGGGGAATATATGTATATGCATAAACAAATGAGAAATATGATGGTGAATGGAATAATGGATTAAGACAAGGTTATGGAACTTTTTAATATTAATGTGGAATATATGAAGGAGAATTTAATAATAATTTAAAAGAAGGCAAAGGAGTCTTAAAGTATAAAAGTGGAGCACTTTTAGATGGAGAATGGAAGAAGGATAAAATAGAAGGAGAAGCTAAATTAACTTTACCAAATGGAGATTATTATAAAGGAACTTGGGTTGGAAGTCATATGAATGGGTATGGTAGATACTAATATTAAAGTGGAGGATATTATGAAGGTTGGTGGAAATAAGATTAATTTCATGGAGAAGGTATGCTGACTTATGAAAATGGTGATATATATAGAGGAGAATTCTAAAATGGTTTAAAACACGGTAAAGGAATATATTTACATTAAAATGGAGATCAATATGAAGGAGAATTTTAAAATGATATGAGAGAAGGAACAGGAGTACTCAGAATGAAAAATGGAGATAGATATGAAGGAGAATGGTCTAATTCTTTGAAAGATGGAAAAGGAATCTATTATTTTGCTAATGGCGATAGATTCGAAGTATATTATCCTCTTTCAAATTTTTTTAGGGTGCTTTTGTAGGAGGCAAAAGATCTGGACACGGAATTATGTATTGGTCAGAAAGATCTTCTGTAAGTGGTTTTTGGTTGGATGATATAATGAATGGTTAAGGTATTATAATCAAAGAAAATGGAGATAAAATGTAAGCCTTATTCAAAAACAATAAATTAGTTGCATGAACTTTATAATATTAAATTATACTACTTTCTAATATTTAAAAATTATTCATACATACTCAGAAATTGATTAATATCATCGAAAAAAATCATATCCTATTTAAAGCTATTTTATTTTAAAATATTTAAGATATATTTGAACGTAAAAATTAGTTTAATTTTTATTTCGCCTAAATACTTTGTTTTTTATAGCTTGAAAAGAATTCCCAATATCAGTAAACTCCTGAAATAAAGCAATAATTTATTGCTACATTAATAAAATATAATAATAATTAATCCAAAAATAATACAAGTTTCTTTTCAAAAATATTTTATTTGTCTTCTTATTTCTGAATCTTAGTATAGGAAAGTATAATCCATTTTCCCCAATTTGTTTATTTTAAATCTGTATGTAGTAATAATAAGATTCTCTTGTCAAATTTGATAACCTTTTTCAATCTTTCATTTCAAAGGCTTAATACGATTTTCAAAAAATAGTTAGATTACAAAATTAAATATAGATGGATCTAAAAGTTGATTTGATCAGATTAATGTCAGTATCTTTATTTATATTTTAAAAATTTTATATGATATAATTAATAAATTAATTGCACACAAGAAATTTGATATAATAATAAGTTATCTCCTTAATTTATTAAGAAATTTCTAACAAGCCCTAAAGTTGAATCATAACTCAAACAATCAAAAATATGAGAAAATAATTAAAGTCATACTAGAACCCAAAATTAGAAAATAAAAGAATAAACCATATCTACATAAATTTTTATGATATTTTGAGAGAATTTGATGACTATATCTATTTTGCTATAAATATAGTAAAATTATTTGATAGAGGTGGATAATTTATTAGTTATGTAATGAAATCTTTTTAGTTGTGCAGAAAAAGGGTATTTAGATAGGAAAGATAGTATTTTAATAATTTAATGTTTTATAACCCTCCAAGAACTCCATATATAAAAACAAGAGTCTAACCAAGGGTTTTATACAATGGATTTGAAAAGTACAAGTATGTAACTATAGAAGCACAAAAATAGTAAAGGTTCAGAATACTTTTGAATATTATCATTATTTACAAAGGAAAAAAGAGTATTAAGATTAGTAGAAGGAATTATTAGAAGGATTGAAAATAGATAATGATGATATGAAGAAGTTATCATATTCAGTAAAATGTTTTGGAGTGAGTAATAAAGAAGGAAAATTTGGTGTACAAAGCTAGCGCAAATTCATGGGTGGGTCATTTGAATCACATCCAACTTATGAGGTGAATGTTTAAAGTGAAAGAATATCTTATCCTTTCAAGTCGAAACGCCTAATTACTAGCCGAAGGTAATTAAGAGACAAATAGAAACCCCTCTCCGAAATAATTAAATTGCCAGAAAGACCAGAAACAGTCCGAACAGAACTTGTCTCAAACGTCGATAGAATAGTTAAGAAATCCCGCTTAAAGTTTAAACAATAACATTCTCAACCATAGCCCGAGATAGTATTCGAGAAAGGAAAAGCTAAGTATTAATCTTATAGTCGTCTCCTTTCAGAGGCCCATAGTCATGAAAGCTTTTATAAAATACTTAGTCCTTGATTTAACATCTTACGTTTTTTTTTAAGTTGATCATTATTGACCAATTTTTATAGTGGATTGTGTCTTTCATTAAGAAATTATATTTAATATATAAACTCAAATAATATACTATCTTAATTGTTTATCATAGAATGAAGAAGTCACTATAACATTCTTATACCAATCCATAGCATATGCAAGAGAAGAATGTTCTTTGAATTCTTGGATTATTGAAACTATTAGATACATTCATATAAATTTTACCTTGTTTATTTTTAATTTCAATCAATTCATATTTATGTTCTTGAAATAGTCCATTCAAATATTAATCTCCTTTTTTTATTATTCTCCAAATTCCTCCTTCTCTTTTATATTCCTCCATAGCAATATTTGGTTATCTTTTATCAAATATTCGAATGTAACCATCAAATGATCCTGTAATTAGATTATATTATCCATCATTTAATAAATATGTAATTCCTTGAGAATGTGATCTTTATATAATATAATCCATATACTTTTTATCCTTTCTCAAAATTCCTATTCTTGCATCATAATAATTTAAACAAGCATCATCACTTCCACTATAAAATAAATCTTAATTTGTATTATCTAAAAGTGTACACCAAACAGAATATTCATGACATTTTTGTTAATAAATGATTTAACCTTCTTTTTGTAAAATCACTTCGCCATTATCTCCACCCAATAATAAATTTTATTGGTAATCACAATCTAAATATAATAATTTGATGTTCTTAAAACATTCCTCAAAAGATTATTAGTTATTTAATTTAAATTTATCATCTTTAATATCTATAATCCAAACATCACCTTTCCATGTACATAGTATTATTTAATTATTTATTATTTTAAAATGCAAGATGCCATCACATTCTAATTTATCAATAATGTTTAATTTTTCATTGAGCAACAATAGAACTCCAGTTTTAGTTTCATCATTAATAAAATCATAAGTAGAAACTACTATATGATTTTCATCTATTATAGAAATGCAATCAGGACAATAATCTAAAAGTATATTATTCATACAGTATTAATCAAATATATAACAATATTCTAATAAAAAACTAAATAGAAATAAAATTATGTTTATATATATATTATTAAATCAAGGGTCATATATTACTTGGCAATGATATTGTTTTCAAGATGCAATATAACACATGATGTAATAATCATCATTAACTAACTCAACATGTTTAATATCATATTAAATTTTTTTATATTATGTATAATTTGCAATTATTGATTAATCTCTAAAGAGATATAAGAGATTTAGAGATAGTTGGTTCAACATTTTGAACTTAAGTCACTACAAAAACTAGATTTATTTATGACCACTGTAATTTAGATAATCATGCTATTTAAGGCTTTTGAACATCTTAACAGTCATTATTGGTACTATGTTTGATTTCTCTTTGTTTATGATAAACTATTTTTTTTGTGTGGCATACCTCTAATGTATAGTAATTATTCTCCACTTATATATTAATTAAAATTATCCTCCTAAAATACTTTACAAATTTAATGAGTGATATCATTAAAGATAAGAAGTTAAGATTGAACAACTAAGTAATCAATTAGAATATTTGGAATGAATTGTTAATGGTGAATGCTACTTAATTTAAAAAAAATAGAGTTTATAAATGTAAGTTATTATTAGATTTAAATCTAAATTTTTATAAAATTTGTTCCATAGCTTTAAGTAATATGATAATAGATCTAACATTAAATTAATGATAATGTAGAATAAATAAATAAATAGAGCAGCGTCTAATATTTTGTTTTAATAAGCCTATTTAAAAAATATTATTAAATTTACTAATCATTTAATTTTTTATTTAAGACATTACTATAAGGCAAAAATCTCTTAAAATTGTTATTTAAGAAGACTAATTTGTTATGAAAACATGAGATGAATTTTTTTACTTAAATTTATAAAAATTTATTTGGTTATATATTTATATAAAAATAAATAATAAAATATGACACATTGTAATTAAAATAAACTAACTTTTATTAATTAATTATAAAAATAAATATAAAAAAGTATTTGTAGAATAGGATTATGAATAACTATTTATATTCATTCTTCTAGTGATATTTTAGCTTCATTTTGTATAATTTGATCGTAAATTTCAATTAATTTTTCTGCTAACCTATATCCTCCAACTGAAAGATTTTCTTCACAAAAAGCAATAGCTTATTTTTCATAATCAGTATTGTAAGAATTGGATGTTGCTACCATTGGATACACAAACTATTATGCCTATCTAAATCCAAGGTAAGTCCAAACAGAAGGATTACTATATAAAAAAATATTAGTACGTCATATCATAATTTGTGTATTTTTATTTTGGGTATTTAAATATAAGTTCCTTAGCCCATTTATCTAGATATGCGCTATCACTTTAACTTAGTGGTCTTGCCATAAAACTATTATTAGGAGCAAATGAAACAGCACCAGAATCCCAAAAAGAATGGAAATTCATAAGAGTTCCATTGGATAACTATTTATTTATAATATAAATACTTAAATCTTCATAAAGTTCCCACCAGCATCTCCATTTGGATAGCTACTATTCCAAAAAGTAGTATCATGTAATGGTTGATGTATATCACCAATAACATGTAGTAAAACTCTGATCATCTAGGCTTTAAATACTGTATGTCTGTTTTTTGAAGTTTTAGGGTTTGTTAAAACAGCGACAGCTTAATTAATTGCATAGATTGAGTTGATATTTCTTCCTTAATCATCTATTTTGATTAACAATCTAAATACTAATAATAAAATATACCCATCTGGATTGATTGGTCTGTCAGTATAATGCCAATCATTTAAAAATCCAGTTCCTGTTTCTTTTATGTCATCTAACCATACAGCAGCCTCTGCAAAAGTATTTGATTTTCCATCTGTAAGAGAGTTAAAGTCTTAAACTAAAGAATCTGCCCAAGCTAAGACATCTGGTCTATTATCTTTTAAGTAATTCTTGGCAATTTAGGCTGTCATCATATGTCCGACTTCCCACCAACAGTAGACTATTGAAATAAGATAACAAAAGACAAATCCTTTCATTAATACGATTATTAAATACTCAAAAGCAATGAATTAATACCTCATATATATATAATCAAAATTTCTTATTATTTAATTTTTTTTACTAAGATTTACTTTTATTTTATATATTTCTCTACTATTTTTATAATCCTTCTAAATTATATAATTTAGTGGATCTCAAATTTCCAACAGTTGTTTAAGTCTACAAACTCTCTTATCTAAATTTTGGGGATTAACAAATTGGTGTATTCTAATGCTTTTCTTAATCTATCTTTTTCATTAATATTTTATTATCATTTAACTTTTTATTTGTTGTATCAGATAAAACTCTTTCATCCATTAGTGTTGGATTAAAAGAAACTAATTAATCTGTTGGAACTAAATAACTTGACTCGGCTTTTTATGGAGATGGAGATTTATCTTCTACTTCTTATTCAAATATTGAGGGATTACTAAATTCATCTAATAATTAAGAATAAGTTGGCCTTCTATCAGGAATCATACTAACACAATCTAAAATTTATTTTTCTAAATTTTCTTTTATTTATATATTATTATTTTTACTATTCAAATTAAATTATGTAAATAATTTTAAGTATTTATCGAATTTTTCAGTCAAGCAATATTTCTCATAATTATAAATTTCTGCTTCATATGGTGTTACTTCTGTGTATAATGATATCATAATTAATCCAAAATTAAATATTGTGGCTTTCTCATTATTAAATTATTTATAATCATTCATTCTTAAACATTTCAAAACTTCTGGAGCAAAATACCAATCTTCACATTTTATATCTCCAGATAATATTCGCTAATAATCACTCTATTGACATAATAGTTATTAATCCACAATTCTCACTTAATCTCCAAAAAGTAATAATTTAGATAAACTAAATTAACAAGTGTCTCTTTTACGAAAATCTAAAAATGCTAATGTTCTAAGCATCTCCAAACTAAATTTTTACACATCTATTTAATATATGTTTTTCAAATTTTTTTCTGTATAATCTATTGTTAAATGAATTTTATGAAATGTACTACATAATTATGATTCAACTTCATGCTCTATTTTATTTATTTTTACGAAATTATACTACATTAATTATATTAAATACTTATTCTTCATTTACTTTTTTTATTTCTTCATTTATTTTATTTGCTTCTTCTTCCTACAATGTGAATGTACGTAAACATTATTATTTTTCCTAACTATTCTTAAATACTTTTATTGGTCCATATAAAGGATGATTGAGTTATTTAATCATGACCCATTGATTTGAATGAACAATTTAAGGTTTTAATTCCGTGTTACCCATAAATTTGAAAAATTATTCAGTTAAATAATATTTTACATAACATGAAATTTATTATTGCAAATCATCATAATCATTTAGATTTCTTTTGACTTCCAATCTCTTTTATTTACATTCAATCAAATGTAATCAAATGTGATATCTATTAATAATTTAACAAATTTAAAAATTTATTTGCAAATTTTTCTCTCTATCTTATATTTAAAATTTAAATCAACTTTAAGCATTTACATAATGATGAATTTCATTTTAAATTGTTTTTGTACTTTATCCACAAGTAAACCACTCAAAATTAAAAAATTTTTTTTAAAAATTCAGATTTTTGTTAAATTTAACCCAGAACAGTTACATATGATTTA